GTTTTACGGGGATCATTAGAGGCTTGTGTTCATCAAGGTCAAGGACGATTTACTGTGGCTTTTATATTAGGGTAAGAGTTTCTTTCAGGCTTTTCTATATAGAAAATATATAATTTTACCAGTGTCCGCCCCACCTCCGGAAATTTTAGTCCGAAACCCCAACTCTCCCTTCGATAATTTCAAGCAAGTGCCCTTCCTTCCCCCCCCCCCCTCCCCCAGAGAAAAAAGTCTGGAAGAAACATTGACTAGGTTGAGGAGGAATTAAGGAGACTTTTCACCAAAGGCAGTGTGTGTGTGTTTGTGTAGGGATGCGGGTGTGGAGGTGGGTTAAAAAAATCATTGTATGTGATTTTTAATAAAAGTCTGGATATGACTTATGATTACTTCAAAGGCGGAGGATAACTTTGGGATAACTTTAGGATAACTTTAGGATAACATTAGGATAACTTTAGGATACCTTTAGGATAACTTTAGGATAACTTTAGGATAACTTTAGGATAAATTTAGGGTAACTTTAGGATAACTTTAGGATACCGTTAGGATAACTTTAGGGTAACTTTAGGATAACTTTAAGATAACTTTAGGATAACTTTAGGATAACTTTAAGATACCTTTAGGATAACTTTAGGATAACTTTAGGATAACTTTAGGATAACTTTAGGATAACTTTAGGATACCGTTATGATAACTTTAGGGTAACTTTAGGATAACTTTAAGATAACTTTAGGATAACTTTAGGATAACTTTAAGATAACTTTAGGATAACTTTAGGATAACTATAGGATACCTTTAGGATAACTTTAGGATAACTTTAAGATAACTTTAGGATAACTTTAGGATAACTATAGGATAACTTTAGGATAACTTTAGGATAACTTTAGGATAACTTTAGGATAACTTTAGGATAACTTTAGGATAACTTTAGGATAACTTTAGGATAACTTTAAGATAACTTTAGGATAACTATAGGATAATTTTAGGATAACTTTAGGATAACTTTAGGATAACTTTAGGATAACTTTAGGATAACTTTAGGATAACTTTAGGATAACCTTATTGCAACAGACTGAGCAAGGTGGGGTGGAGGCTAATGTGTGTCCATATTACTGCCGTTACTCACCCTAATCCTAAACCCTGACAATAATCCAAACCACATTCCTAACCTCACCCTAACCATATTTCTATTTCCAAACCCTAATATTGACCTCAGTTCTAACTAACTAAATCCTAATCCTAATCCTAACCTGCGCTGTTAATGCCATGTAAGTTTTTTTTTCTAGAACCAAAAAGTCATGTCACCTAATTTAAGGTTGGAAAAGAAAAAAACAACGGTTGGGCAACATAACTACCCTACACTAACTTTTATATACTGAGCCTTGATTACCTATCATAGTTTTAAATCAAACGTAACCATAACTTCAACCGTTTCAATAAAGTATCGCTACCAATAGTAATCGATTACGAATCATACCGCGCAATTGTATCTCACGCCCTAATCATCTATTCTGATCGCCTACCCGATTACCACCCCCCCCCCCCGGAGCGATACAACTGTAATCGACTACACCATCAACTCGATACCCGACAATCGTTTCATCAATCGCCGGCTTTTGTGTTCGCCGCCTCGTGCTCAGTTATTATTTACAGTCTAAAACAACTGCACCGACCAGGGTATCGATCTAACGGGGTATTCGATTACCTGTAATCGTGAACACGGGTTGTTCACGTTTCATGCGCGCCTGTATTTTTATGAACATTTCCGGCATGTAGGGTTATATCAGCGCCAAGCCTGCTATAGTATGCATAGATTTGATAAAAAGCTAATAATCAAAGTTAAGATAAATTTATTGGTATTTTAAGCGTGGTCGAATGGTAGAGCGATTGGCTGCCCAAAGGTATCGAGTTCAGATCTCGGTTTGGACTTGTAATTTTAAGACGTCCCTGAGTCCACCAATCTCAAATGGGCACCTGATTTACTTTGTGGAAAGTACAGGCGGCTGGGCATAGTGCTGACAACACCATTCCATGCATATGCCGAGGTTAAGACATATGAACTCTACTTCATCTGCGCAATGGCGTGTGGCAGTAGACAATCCCTTGTGTATGAGTCGCATTGTTGTGTATATTCCTTCAGCGCATTGCGCTGTGCGCAGGTGGCGGTAGCACGTCCCTTATGGGGAACTTTTTTTTAAAAAAAACCATCACCTAAATATTAAAAAAAATAAAGACAACGTTGGTTCTTTGAAAATGATCATGCTTTAAATGAAACAATGTATAAGCTAGTATCGCTACCTTGACCCTAATCTTGGCCCAAACCCAGCCCTAATCCTTATATTTTAATTTACACAGAAACGAAACACCTTCTTCACTTTTACGCTCATTCAGATATAAGACTATGGCTAAGGGGTGGTTTATCATATCGTTATATTGTGTTACATGTTGGTTGGGTTATAGTCAAAACTAATGAAACATAATACTGAGTTTGAATCATTTATTCAAATTTCGGATACCCTTTCTTCTGTTTAACATGGTTGAATGAACAAGTTGGTTTATAGCTATGCTTTTAACATGAAGATAGCGATCAGATAGCAATTCAGTGAAAATACTATAAAACTGTATACGAGAGAATTAAACTGACAGATCGAAACTTATATAACATTTAAACGCTTCCTTGTAGGTTGACTGTCGATTGTAGTAATGCGGATCCATTACACGCAGGCAGTTACATTACACAGAAAGCATGTCTTTACATTAGGATTACATTGGTAATGACATTTACACACACAACTTCTTTACACAAACGCTAATAGTTGTAGCTACATTTACGCATTCGTTTTTTTTCTGATGTTATATATACAGTTCATGTAGGCTACACAGAAAATATGTTTTAACAGCTAATATTGTTAGCCACATTGACACAGAAATCATTTCTTTACTTGGATGTTACATATTTAGATCTAGTAACTTGTATAGAAAAAACATGTCCTTGCTGATAATATTGTTATCTATATTTACACAGAAAGAGAAATCATTTCTTTACTTGGATGTTACATATTTAGATCTAGTAACTTGTATACAAAATACATGTCCTTGCTGATAATATTGTTATCTATATTTACACAGAAAGAGAAATCATTTCTTTACTTAGATGTTACATATTTAGATCTAGTAACTTGTATACAAAATACATGTCCTTGCTGATAATATTGTTATCTATATTTACACAGAAAGAGAAATCATTTCTTTACTTAGATGTTACATATTTAGATCTAGTAACTTGTATACAAAATACATGTCCTTGCTGATAATATTGTTATCTATATTTACGCAGAAAGAAAAATCATTTATTTTCTCTGATATTAAATAGGCCTACATAGTTACATTTACACAGAAAACATTGTCTAATGTTACATAGATTATAATATAAAGTAAATATACACAGAAAATATTTCTTTATGCTTGGGTAACTCGGTGAGATTGGGGCCCGTGATATCAATGCCCCTCCCCCCCCCCCCAGTGAAATCAATGCCCCCTCCCCCCCCCCCCCCCATGATATCAATGCCCCCCTTTCCACTTCAGTACACCTGAATAGACCGTATGAACGTGTATTTGTAAGGCCGACCATGATATCAATACCTGCCTGTTATAGTGTTAGGGTATAATCTGTGTATACTGTCGTCTGTTTAGTGTGGGGTAGGAACAGTGGTTAGGGCTAGTAAACATTTGAGTTACAGAATGGAATGCTAACGCCGGGTCAGAGGTCAAGAATGTAAACAAACCTACAGGATCTTGTACCAGGAAAAATCAAAGTTCGATTTTTTAAAGCGTTTATTGATTTGTTTTGTGATTGGGAAGTTAGAGAGAGACGATTTTTTTTTTTTTTTATTAATCAAGGCTAACGTAAAGATAGATTTGGGAAAAAGAAATGTGTACAATTGTTTCAAGAGCAGTGTTTCTTCCAGACTTTTTCTCCGGGGGGGGGGGGCACTTGAAATTTTATTGAGGCTAACTAAAATTTTCGGGGGGGGGGGGGGGGCGGGGGTGGGGCGGACACTGTTAAAAGCATATATTTTCTGTTTAACTTCCATTATGTTCGGAGGGAGGGGGAGGGGGGGGGGGGCGGTAGACTTTTGTAGATGCCTGGAAGAAACTCTGGTCGAGAGAAACATCACTTGGCTAAGGATCTATTTTTTTTTATTTTATTAAAATGAATGATATTACGAGCCTTATTTTCCTAGCTTTAAGAGAATCCTAATACTTTTTTTTCTTCTTCGTTCTTAATTTTAATATTGGGGTGGATTTCCTCCAACATAATTAAGTGTAAAGAGCCAATTTGGTATGCGTCATATCCCTCTTTGACTCCTACTCCAGCTTACCTTTTCTGGATTTGCTTCCATAGCCTTTGTCCATCCTTACAATAAACAAGAAGGCAGCAGTTGTTTTGGTGCTGAGGTTGTCTCTCACAGTGTTTCTTCCAGACTTTTTTCTCGGGGGGAGGGGGGGGGGCACTTGATATCTTCTACCCGGGGGGGGGGGGGGGAGGGGCGGACTAAATTTTCCGGGGAGTGGGGGGGGGGGGGAAGCGACACTGTTAAAAGTGTTTATTTTATAAATAAATTCCATTTCGTTCGAGGGGAGGGGGGCGTTGACACTAAATGGTGACATGTTTTTTTTATTTGGCGACATGTTATTTGACATTTGGTGACAAGTTTCTTGACAGTTGGTGACAAGTTTCTTGACATTTGGTGCCAAGTTTCTTGACATATGGTGTCAAGTTTCTTGACATTTGGTGACAAGTTTCTTGACATTTGGTGACAAGTTTCTTGACATTTGGTGGCAAGTTTCTTGACATTTGGTGACACGTTTCTTGACATTTGGTGACAAGTTTCTTGACGTTTAGTGACAAGTTTCTTGACATTTGGTGTCAAGTTTCTTGACATTTGGTGGCAAGTTTCTTGACATTTGATGACATGTGTGTTGTTTGTACCGAGCAGATGAAGCGAACCAGACACAGGAGGAGAGAGACCTACACGCCAAGTTGGCCCATCTCAACGCGGCCCTGGCCCAGGCCAACGCTGACGTCACAGAGGCCCTCCGTCTGGCCACTGAGACCCAGAGTACAGCGGTCAAGGCCAACTTAGCGGCGGAGAAGGCGAAGGAGGAGACACGGAGAATACAGGTGAGGGGGTGGAGGGAGGAGAATACAGGTGAGGGGGTGGAGGGAGGGGGAGAATACAGGTGTAGGGGAGGGGGAGGGGGAGAATACAGGTGTAGGGGAGGGGGAGGGGGAGAATACAGGTGAGGGGGTGGAGGGGGAGAATACAGGTGAGGGGGTGGAGGGCGAGAATACAGGTGAGGGGGTGGAGGGAGGAGAATACAGGTGAGGGGGTGGAGGGAGGAGAATACAGGTGAGGGGGTGGAGGGGGAGAATACAGGTGAGGGGCTGGAGGAGGAGAATACAGGTGAGGGGGTGGAGTAAGGAGAATACAGGTGAGGGGGTGGAGGGGGAGAATACAAGTGAGGGGTGGAGGGAGGGGGAGAATACGGGTGAGGGGGTGGAGGGATGGGGGGAGGCAGGGGTGGGAGCTGGTTTAGTGAGGGGAGTTTTGAGGAGAATTTGGGTAGTGTTGGATGGCGTGGGAGGCTGATAAGAGGTTGATGGTGGAGTGGGAATGTGGGTAGGTGTTAAGGACCAGAGTGGGTTTGGGTTTTATAGGGGTAAAATTGAGTGAGGTTGTGGATCAAACGGTTAATGGGCAGTTTATTCAGGAGAACCTTCTGAGTTAAGGGTAGGTTTAATAAGGTAATTTTAATTACAAGTTGAGGTAATGTAGATATAGAAAACCCAGTTGATCATATTTATACGGGGTAATCGACTGAGTCTACCTCGTTTATAGAAAAGTTATGAGAAGCGGTTAGTTTAAAATATAACCATATGTTATAAATTATATGGGGATTCATGTGAGTGAAGGTTAATGTAAACTAAATAAGTCTGTGTGTTGATGTTCTTGTATTTAAAGGAAGAAATAGAGAAGAGGGAAAAGGCTGAACAGAAACGAAAAGAAGAGGAAAGTAGAAGGAATGAAGAACAGAGACGACAGAAGGAGGAACAAGAAAGAAGGGTGAGATCATGTTACTATAACACATTCGTCAATAGTTTACATAATGAAATAAAATAATGACAATAATCATATAGATTACAAAAAAATATTTAAAAATTAAATTATTACAATTTTAATTTAAGGCTAGTTTTAGTATTATAGGTGGAATAATAATAATAATAATAATAATAATAATAATAATAATAATAATAATAATAATAATAATAATAATAATATTAATAATAATAATAATCATCATCATAATCATCATAATAATAATCATAATAATAAGAAGAAGAAGAAGAAGAAGAAGAAGAAGAAGAAGAAAAAGAAAAAGAATAATAATAATAATAATAATAATAAAATAATAATAATAATAATAATAATAATCATGGTTAGTGTTATTAATATTATAATACAATTATTTTGATAATGATGAAAATATTTTGTATTGTTGTTATTAACGTAACCACCAAACACAGAAGTCTTTTCTTGATGTAAACATTTATGAATTCGAGAATAAACATGTTACAATTTAATTATCTTCATAATATCCATTAATTAATCTACCTGATTATTCACTTAACCACGTTAACTTATTTTATTTATTAATCCCATCAGCTATACATTCGTCTTATCATATTAATTAAGCAAGTGATTAATTTCATTAGCTCCAAGAGGAAACGAAAAGAAAAGAAGAAGAGTGGAAGAGACGCGAGGCCCAGCAGGGAGATAAATCTTCACACACGTTCGATAGCTGGACGCCCATAGAGTTAGTGCCCTTTGTTTTGTATTTCACAACTGTAAAGTTAGGGCTCCTATGTTGTTGTTTTATCTACATTTTTAGCGGTTTTTTGCTATCATGACGAGTCAACGTGGTAAAGGTCATGGTACTAAACCAAAAGTCCCGAGATCGAACCTCGGGCAGCTGGGGACAGCCACTCTTCTAGGAGAGACAACTCCAAAATCAAACATCTGCTGCCTTGTTGTTTGTTCTTGGACAAAGGCTATGGAAGCAAATCCACACTCAAAAATAGCAGGCTGACAACAGATTCAACGACCCAATGAAGCATAACAAGTTGACACGTATACGTAATTGTATAGGAGGGTATCCCAATATACAATTTAGAACAAAGAAGAAAAAGTTTGCTATTATTACATAACAGTAACTGAGATAGATTGCTATGGTAGATTGCTGCCTTTAGCACTGTAGTGAAGACGGTGTAGTTTGTTGATATCTAGTCCCTTTTGGTTGTGTGTATATCAGGAGAATGTATTAGTTGGCTGAGTGTGTGTCTGTCTGTCTGTCTGTTTGTGTGTATGTGTGTGTGTCTGCATGTGTGTGTGTCTGTATGTTTAGGAGTATGTGTGTGTGTGTTTATGTGTGTATATATGTGTGTGTATATCAGAAGAATGTATTAGTTTAAGTGTGTGTGTGTCTGTCTGTAAGTTTGTGTGTATGTGTGTGTGTCTGCATGTGTGTGTGTCTGTGTCTGTGTGTGTGAGGAGCAGATAGCTGAAGTAGAGTGAATGTTTCTTATGACCCGACCTTGAACTCTGATCTTCTGCCACCCCCCCCCCCCCCGGCAGGTACGAGCACGTGAACGAGCACGGTGAAACGGAAGTGACGTGCATCGCTCGGGGTCAGCCGGGGTCAGTGGACAAGCACAGCTTCCAGTGTCACGTGGCCAGCGAGAAGGAGGCCCTGGTGACCTACTTGCCTAATGAGGAGCTAATTAGCAACGTCGTTGATTTGACCTCACCAAGCGGGGAAGAGGAACTAAAGGTATCTTGTCTCCCCTTGTTTTTTCCAGATCTTTTTATGTAATCATTACCTCCCCTGGTTTCTATACCTTCCATTGGAAATAAAACCTATACCTCTTTGCTATCTATACCTTTTCTTGTAACAGTGACCTCGTGTTATAAACCTTACCTCCCTTTTCATTCCTTACCTCAGTTTTCTTACCTCACCTTTCTTTACTCACCTCACATTTTATTTGTTACCTCCCCTATCATTTGTTACCTCCTCTTTCATTAATTACCTTTATTTAATTACCTCCCCTTTTTTGTTACTTCCCCTGGTAATCAATAACTCATTAACCTTACAAAACATGCTTATCTGTCAGCGTCTAGACGTCTGATTTAATGATCATTCTGATTGTGTGCCATTGTTAATTAACACTTCCGCTAAAACAATAACTGTCGGTTTAGCTGCTAACCCGGAGGTCTCGAGTTCAGATCCCGGTTCGGACTTGTTATTGTAGACGTCATTGAGTCCACCCAGCGCTGATGGGTACCTGACTTAAATTAGCGGAGCTAAAGGCGGCTGAGCATAGTGCTGTCCGCATAATTATTTCATATGTCAAGGTCAATTTAACCAAGGGTTTAAACCATTTATTCAATGGTTTAAAGAGAAAATTTAACTTTGACTTTAAAATACATCACTCACATTCCCAAATTACCTAGAAAAAGATTAAAATCATTAGGAAACAGTAATTCATTTTTAAGGGCAGATTAGCGGTAGAGCGCTAGACTAACCCAGAAAGTCCAGAGTTTGAATCCGGGTTCAAATTAATAGAACATCACAGAGTCCACCCAGCTCTCGTGGGTACATAACTCACAATAGAGAAAGTAAAGTTCGCTTTATATGCCGAGCTCAAAGAAACAGATAAACTCTACTTCACTTGGACCGTCAGGTTCGAAAGGGAGGGAACTTTAAATTACAAATTTGTTTCTACACATTAGAGGGTAGCGTAAAAATGTTAAGAAACTGTAATCGCTAGTTAAAGAGGACAAAAAAAAAAAGCTACACGACAACTAGTATTAAAGTTTTACAAGTGAATCATGTGTTTTTTTTTTAAATTGTGTACAGAGTCCAGTGTACGTGGCCATACCTCATGTACTGACCAGGACAAGCGCCCAGTCTAGGGAGGCGGTGGTCAAGGCGATGGTCGAAGGGGAATGGCGGGACCTTCCCACCCGTGACGTCACATTTGACTCACACAAGGTACTGTATTGAAGGTTGAAACAAATATTTAGCTGGACCGTTCTATTAAAAGGGCAGGGTAGTGTAGTTTACAGTGTTTCTTCCAGACTTTTTTCTCCGAGGGGGGGGGGGGACAATTGAAATTTTCGGGGGGCGGACTTAAAATTTCTGGGGGGCGGACACTGTTAAAAGTACATATTTTCTATACAAATTCCAAGAAACTCTGGTAGCATAGTAAAAATAGATTGTGTTTTCTGGTCACTGGTTTGTTAACCCTTGGAGGAATTGTTAATTAATGTGAGCGATTTGATAATTGAAAAGTTTTTAGTTCGGTTTCCGTGCTTAAAGGGTTAAGCTCCGGAGTTGAATTAAAAACAAAAATTAGCTATGTAAAGATTTAAGGAATAAAATTAATTCGGAAGAACAGCAGTCTTGAAAAAAATTGAAAAAATTGTGTCCTGATATGTTTTAAGTTATTTAACCACGGCTCATTAAAACCAGATTGCTTTTTATTTAAGTAAATTTTTTTTTCAAAGTAAAATTATTGCGCAATATACATCCATGAAGCTTGATTATAAAATTAATTAAGCTTTATAACCCTATTTACAATTAAGTCTTTCAGACTTACTTCTGTGTTTGCACTAAGGCTTTTTTCTCCGGGGGGGGGGGGGGGGAGGGCACTTGAAATTTTCGAGGGGGGGGGGCGGTAGACTTTCTTCGGGGGGGGGGGGTGTATATATTTCCTATATAAATTATATAAATTTCTTTCGGGGGGGGGGGGGGCGGTAGAATTTTTTCGGGGGGCTTCGATGCCTGGAAGAAACTCTGGGCTAGACGCGGACTTAATTTTCCTGGGGGATGGGGTGGACGGGACGATGACACTGGTTTAAGTATATATTTTACATATAAATTGTATTTCGTTCGGGGTCGGGGGGGGGGGGGGGAGTGGTGGCGTAAAAGCGCTTTTGAGAATGGGGGGAGGTAAGGTAAATTGTTTTCCCTCTTCCCTGAAAAGGCGCCTGAAATAAACTCTGTATCGAATGTTCTAGTGTTAACGTGATTGACATCGTTGTGATCTCCAGGATATCAAGTTTGCACAGGCGGAAGTACGTCATCTGACCACACTGATCGTCATGTCCAGATTCAAGCGGGATTACGTCACACTTGCCCCAAACAAAAGTCACAAGCTGACGTCATCGTTTGACCAGAGGATTACCTTGACCTTGGACAAGGACACGCTGACAAAGAAGGAGCATTTTCTCTTACAGGTGTGTTGGGTTACCTGGCTGGGATAGGTGGTGTGTGGGGTATATTGTGTGGGATAGGGTGTGTAAGGAATAGGGTGTGTGGGATAGGGTGTGTGGGATAGGGTGTGTGGGGTATAGGGTGTATGGGGTATAGGGTGTGTGGGATAGGGTGTGTGGGATAGGGTGTGTGGGATAGGGTGTGTGGGATAGGGGGTGTGTGGGATAGGGTGTGTGGGATATGGTGTGTGGGATAGGGTGTGTGTGGGATAGGGTGTGTGGGATAGGGTGTGTGGGATAGGGTGTGTGGGGTATGGTGTGTGGGGTATGCTGTGTGGGATAGGGTGTGTGGGATAGGGTGTGTGGGATAGGGTGTGTGGGATAGGGTGTGTGGGGTATGCTGTGTGGGGTATGCTGTGTGGGATAGGGTGTGTGGGATAGGGTGTGTGGGATAGGGTGTGTGGGATAGGGTGTGTGGGGTATGGTGTGTGGGGTATGCTATGTGGGATAGGGTGTGTGGGATAGGGTGTGTGGGGTATAGTGTGTGTGGGATAGGGTGTGTGTGAAATAGGGTGTGTGTGGGATAGGGTGTGTGGGATAGGTTGTGTGGGATAGGGTGTGTGGGATAGGGTGTGTGGGGTAGGGTGTGTGGGGTATGATGTGTGAGCTATATTGTGTGGGATAGGGTGTGTGGGATAGGGTGTGTGGGATAGGGTGTGTGGGGTATAGTGTGTGTGGGATAGGGTGTGTGTGAAATAGGGTGTGTGTGGGATAGGGTGTGTGGGATAGGGTGTGTGAATATGGTGTGTGGGATAGGGTGTGTGGGATATGGTGTGTGGGATATATTGTGTGGGATATGGTAGTCTACCCCACTCTGTTAAAAAATTGTACCTTGTAGGATTACCCCCACCCCCCTCATCCCGACTCCGATTAAAGATCCTGCCTACTTGACTGTTGAATAACTGTACCTACTAACATTACCCCCCCCCACCCCACCCCTCCCCCAGGTACAGCCCGTGGACACAGCCACAGTCCAAGAGTACAGGGCCCGAGAACCCAGCGGCAAGGGGCTCCTGACTAGCAGTTCCATCGTCTACACGCAGTGGGAGACAACCTCGTTTAAAAAACAGATTCAGGTGAGTTGTCTTCTCCTGGTAGCCTACGCCCAACGCAGTGGGAGACAACCTCGTTTAAAAAAAAGATTCAGGTGAGTTGTCTTCTCCTGGTAGCCTACGCCCAGTTTCATCAACGGGACAGAAGACGGTGTCGGTAGATCGTTTCATATTCAACTTTTTACATGAGTTAGTTAACCCTGATCAGCATTATGCAGAGGCGTAGCGACCCTTCCCGGCGCCCGGGGACAAACTTTCGATTTGCACACCCCCCCCCCCCCTCTCAAACTTTCGATTTGCACCCCCTCAAACTTTCAATTTGTTTTTCCAACCCATTTTGGCGCCCCCTAAGGTCGGCGCCCGGGGACATATATCCCCCCCTCTCTACGCCTCTGGCATTATGCCTAGCTTGTAAGGTGACTTTTCGGGAATCTATATCCGCTGAATTGACTCCAATGTAGGGTTTCTTTTAGACATTTTACCCTGGGAGGATGGGGGACAATGGGTTACATGAAACTTACAAACACTGTTGATGTTTTCAATTTAAAAAATTCCCGTATTTTTCCGATCTAGTCAAGGGGGATGTGGACATATACCCGGTCTGAACTCTGATTTATGAAGTGTAAAGGACTGTAAAGGAATGGCGTGGTCGGGTTGGTAAAGCTCATGGTGGCTGAAATTAAAGTCTTGAACAAGTGTGAGGCTCGATAGCTAGGGACGGCAACTCTTCTAGGAGAGACAACTCCACATTAAACAACTTCTGCTTTGTAGTTGGTTCTTGGATAGATAAAGGCTATTTAAGCTAATTAGAAATGAAAAGCAGGGTTAATATAGCGTATCAAGTTGAAAGGGGGGGGGGGGGGTCGGCGTGGTCAAGCTCATGGTTGTTAAACCGAAAAAGTCTCGAGTTCGAACCCTCGGGCAGATGAGGCTCGTTAGCTGGGGACAGCCACTCTTCTAGGAGAGACAACTCCTAAATCAAACAACTGCTGCCTTGTAGTTTGTTCTTGGTTGGACAAAGGCTATGGAAGCAAATCCAAAAAGAAAAGCAGGCTGAAATCGGAGTCAATGGCCTCAATGGCGCATAACCAGTTGACACGTATCCTTTATTGTGATGGAGGCGTGGTCGAGTCGGAAAAAGTTCATGGTTGACAAAATTCGAAAAAAGTCTCGAGTTCAAACGTTGTGGCAGATAAGGCTCGATCCCTCCCAACACTAAAAATTAAGAACGAAGAAGAATGAGAAGAAAAGCAGAAGTTGAAAGGTAATACTTTTAATTACGTTGGAGTATACCCCGTCCAGTTTTATTTATAATTTAGAACGAAGAAGAAGGAAAAGAAAACAAAAGTTTTTTTTTTTAATACGGACATATTGTGATTAGAAACTTATGAAACAATTTGCAAAGAAAGAAAATTAAATAACAACCATTGTCAATTAAACGTGTAGACAATGACAAATCCAAAAAAGTAATTCAATACTTTAATTTATACACCTGCTTTATTTCTTTATGAAGTGACAAAAAATACATTATTTTGTTATTTTATTCAAAGTGATGTGAACATATTAAAAATTTTATAAGTTGCCCAATTATTAGTCAAATGTACTTTATAAAATGGGAAAAATAAGAGGAATTTAAAAGATTCTTGACATTTTTGTCTGGACCCTCGCTATGACGCACCAATGTCAAGGCCGAGAACCGAACCTTCAACTTCCGGGTCGACAATCATGGCGGCCGCGACTAGCAAGCTAAGAGCTGGGCGAGGAGTGCCAGGAACGTGCTGAACGTGCTCATCTCTTCCTCCACCCTGCTCATAGGCTCGCACGTGCACATCAGCTGGTGCTGACCGTGTACACGCTGCGGGGCCACAAGCCGTCTGCTCGATGGTGAGGCTGCGTTGCCACGGGCGACGGCGGCAAGTTTGGGTTGGGGTTTCGTTGTTGTAGAGGGGGTGGTGTTGGAGTATCCTGAGGGGATGGAGAACAAATGCCCGATGTTGTTGAGGACTGACTCTCCCACTTTCGCCAATCCCGAGTCGCTGTCTTGGTTGGAGATTTTGTTGGAGATTTCCTTCGCCGTCTCGCTTTCTGCTCGCTCTAGCATTTTTTGCAGCGAGATGCTACGTCTGAACCGGGGGTTGTCACGTTCGCCGTGATCCGTGTCACGTCCTTCGTGATCCGCGTCACGTCCTACGTGATCCATGCCACGTCCGCCGCGATCCATGCCACGTCCGTGATGACGCCTGCTCCGACCGCCGTCTTGCTGTACTCTAAGTACCCTGGGGATTGTATCACTTCCGACGTGATCCGCGTCATTCACGTCACGCCTTGTGTCACGTCTGCTACGATCAGTGTCACGTCTGCCGGTAAGGATCCTGTACGGCGACCGCTCCGCTTCCGACTGGTTAATGGAGATGTTGAAATTCTCTGTTCGCGGTTCTTTGCTCTTTGTTCTGGCGGGGGTCAAGTTCTTTTGCGAAGCCTTGCCGGCATTTTCCGGTCGGCGTTTCCCGTGTGGAGATTCAGAGTCCCAAAAGCGTATGTGGGCTGCCTTAAACAGTGGCACCATTTCACTGTAATAGAGTTTGGATTAGCTTAAGTTAGGTTTAGCTGAAGGCTATTCTTTTCTTGTTATCATTCTCGGTTTAAATTACAAAGGAAATAGAGGTTTATCGCTTGGTTGTGTTCTGATATTTTATGTAGTGTAAAATGGGTCAAGGCTGCGTTAGACAGACGTAGATGTGTATAAAGGTCGTTGCTAGGTAGGGTTAGACAGTCATAAAACACTAGGTCAAGGTCGTTTCTAGGCAGGTTTAGACACTTGTGTTAAATAGGTTAAGGCTGTTGCTAGGCAGCTTGAGGCAGTAGGTCAAGTCAGGTGCCAGGTGGCACTCGAAAGTCATAAAAGTGGGTCACGGTCATGGTAGGCAGCTTAAGCCAGTCTTCTAAGTGGGTCAAAGCTGTTGCCAGTCAGGACTATGCTGTCGTACAAGTGGGTCAAGGTCGTTGCTAGGCTCTCGTACAAGTGAGGCAAGGTCGTTGCTAGACGGTCGTACAAGTGTGTCAAGGTCGATGCTATGTGGTCGTACACGTGGGTCAAGGTCGTTGATGGCAGTCCTACAAGTGGGTCAAGGTCGTTGTTGGACAGTCGTTCAAGTGGGTCAAGGCCGTTGCTAGGCGACGCTACCTCGGGTCGTCAGCGCTGCGGACGTAGATGGTGAGGACCTCCTCATGGTTGCAGCAGTACGTGTCGCCGTTGACCCAGCGCTGGGTCAGTGACCCCACGCACCGGTCGTTCATCCGGCAGGCGGGATGTTGGTCTGAAAATAACACACACAAATGTTTACAATGGACGGCGTGGTCGAGCGGTAGAGCGGTTGTTTGTTAACCCGAAAGTCTTGGGTTCGGATCCCGGGCTCGAGTCCGCAGGCCGTACCTGAGTCCACCCAGCTCTAATAGGTACCTGGCTCACGTTAGGGAAAGAAAAGGTGGTTGGCATAGTGTCGGGTACACTATCTCTTCGTTTTCCCAAATTAATGGAACAGGTGAACTCAACTTCATCTGCCTATGTTTTCCTTTATTAAGTCGTGCGTCCAAAAATAACATTACACTGTTTGGATGTCTGACATCCACCTCCCCCCACCCCCACCCCAACTCGTATATCGTTACATTCTGTCCACAATTGGTTACATACAATATTGTGACGTCACACTTTCTCAAAATTAGGTCTTTGTGAACCAGTTTACAAAGTTTAATTAAAGTTAGAACTGATATCCTCAATTCATCTATAGGTAAAATCTCCAAACACAAAAAAACATCTAGTATTAGTATACCATCATAGTTCCGTCAATATCTAAAAATCTTTTTGAAAATATAACACTATGGCTATAACTTAACTGTCATAGTTTCGTCGATACCTAAGAATCTAATAAAACATAACGGTTTAACTACACCATCATAATTCGGCTGATATCTAAAAATATAAGAACACAACACATAATGGTTGTAACTATACCATCATAATTCGGCTGATACCTAATATTATAAGAAAATATAACATGATACTTGAAAACAACATCACAGTTGTAACTATACTATCATAATTCGGTTGATATCTATAAATCTAAGAAAACATAATAGTTGTAACTTTATTATCATAATTCGGCTATCTAAAAATCTAAGAAAACATAACAGTTTTAACTATACTATCATGATTCAGTTATCTAAAAATCTAAGAAAATATAATAGTTGTAATTAAACTATCATAATTCAGCTGTAGTAATCTAAATTTCTAGGAAAACATAACAATTGTAAGTATACCATCTAAATTTGGATATCTAAAAATCTAAAAAAATATGACATAACGGTTGTAGCTATACCATCATAATTTGGTTAATATCTAAAATTCTAAAAAAAAAACACGACATAACGGTTGTAGCTATCTTAAGGTCGTTGAACTTACCCTCCGGTGTGTCCAGGTTTTTTCTTGCAGTGACCAGCTTGGCCAGACAGACCAACCACGTGACCGTCACAAGCATTCTGGTCTCTGGGAATTGTCAAGTTTTAAAAATATGTTTGATTTAGTTCAATATGTCGATTATGTTTTCAATTATCTTAAGGGGGAATATCACCGTGAAAACAAAAAATGAACAAAAATAAGTCGCCAAAACGTTTTTAAAAATATGTATTTACCCTTAAAAAAAGTTAATTTTTTAAATTTTTAAATGTAGTTTTCCAAAATATAAATCGAGGTGTGACGTCATTTTAGGGGGGGGGGGTTGGCTTTTTGTGACGACGTGTGAGGGACGGGGAGGGGGGAGGTAAAAATCGTCCAAAAAGCGTGACGTCATTTATGGATGACCCCTGTGTTCCTCATGAACTCAACTGATAGCTGAGATGTCCATGTTCTTATTGGCAGCGATGTCTTTGTTGATTCTTTGCTCTCCACATCTAAGCCACTTAAAGCTGTTACGTTAGAGCTAGACCTTGATCCTATTAAGCGGCTTGATAGACGAAAATGTTGAAAAATCTTCGACGACAAATTAGTTGCCCTTTTTTTACTGTTGTATTTAACATTAATTAAAAAAAAAAATTTTAAATACTTTTATTTGCAATTAAAACAAGTACATATGCTGTGCTTGGGTCAGTTTCGGAGAAATCAATCAATGTAAAGTTGTTGTTGTTGTTGTTGTTGTTGTTGTTGTTGTTGTTTTTGTTTTTGTTGTTTGGGGTTTATAGTCCGCTTTCAATCTCAAGATTATATCGCAGGCTGTATTTTTGATAGTTGATTTGTTGTTTTTGTTTATGTTCAATTTAACTTCATTTGGTTTCCTTTCAATTTTGGATTTGGTTTTTTATTGTGCGAGTTCTGAATTGTGTTGATTGGTGATGTTTATTTTATCTGTAAACTGTACAACTTGTTAGATTGATTCTTCTGTTTAGTGGACATATTTTTTGACCAGGCTATGTAGAGTGGATGGGGCGTCCATAGCCAGTAATGTTGCAGTTGTTACTGTTATGTTTTTGTTTGTTTGGATGTAGTTGAGGAGTTCTTTTCTTTGATTGTCATATTCCTTGCAGTGCAGAGGCGTTGCGACCCTTCCCGGCGCCCGGGGACAAACTGTTCGATTTGCACCCCCCCCCTCAAGATTTCGATTTGCACCCCCCCCCCTCAAACTTTCGCTTTGCACCCCCCTCAACCTTTCAATTTATTTTTCCAACCCATTTTGGCGCCCCCTAAGGTCGGCGCCCGGGGACATATGTCCCCCCCCGCCCCCCCCCCCCCCCTTCGCTACGCTATTGTTGCAGTGTATGAGGTAATGGCCTATTGTGTTTTTTTTCTGTGCATGTGTGGCACCATTTCTTAGTGTGCAGGAAGGCGTCTGATCCTAAACGCTGCCTTGTTAGTTTTTAGCGCAATTTCCATTCTGGAGAATTGCGTTTATTAACGCGTCATTTCTGGATGGATGGATGGATGGATGAATGTATGGATGAATGTGTGTCCGGGCTTTAAGTCGTATCTCCTCCTCAACGAAGCAATATCGATGACTAGTTCCAAAAGCAATTATGTTAAGCAAGTTACAAGAATGAGCATAGGCCATAAAAATTCCGGGTTTCTTTCATGTATTTCCCGGAAAAGCCAAAAAACCTCGAAAAAAAGCAGTTTTTTGCCCATATCTCGTCAACCAGACCACTTAGCGACTTGAAACATGTACCAATCGATTCCTGCCATAATTTAGAGCAATATTGCCGAAGAAAGTTTTCAAAAATATCCTCTCGTTTGGTCACAAATTTTAAAATTACAAAAACACCTACAAACCGATTGTTCTTCTAGCTTGAACGCATCCCAGCATTATACGTCAGAGCTATTTTTAGATAACATAAGGAAATTGCGCATAAATGTCACTAGACTTTTTTAATTAACTTGTTTATTAACGGGTGGCCTTTGGTCTGCTGTTATCTGCAGTCTCCCGTCAGGTGGACGCAGTATTGAGTGGGCGTGCCTACCCCTTAGAACTGGCATTCCACTTTTTAACCCATCCTTCATTTATTTGTTCCTTTATTGCAGCCTTCACTTCGGAGGAATCAATTTCTGTCTCAACAAATGCTCTGGATTCCACTCCCTTTTTTGCTGCTTTGTCGGCATTCTCGTTTCCTTGTATGCCGATATGGGAGGGAATCCAGATCATCTGAACCGATCGTCCCCTTTGTTTCATCTCGGTACATTTGTGTAGAATCTCTTCTACGATGTAGTCTCTGCAGTATTCTCCCCCTTTTATGGCCTGCAATGCTGATAGGGAGTGGGTTAGGATGCTGATACTCGTAACAGGGGTTGTTGGAGTCAGAGGCGTAGCGAAGGGGGGGGGGCAGGGGGGGGGGGGGGGCAAGGGGGTATATATGTCCCCGGGCGCCGACCTTAGGGGGCGCCAAAATGGGTTGGAAAAACAAATTAAAATCTCATTTGAGATGCAGTTTGTCATTATAAATATAAAAAATATATATGGGGGGGGGGGTACAAATGGAAAGTTTGCGGGGGAGGGGGCGGGTGCAAATTGAAAATTGAAGGTTTGTTCCAGAGGGGGGCGCCAAATTGAAAGTTTGTCCCCGGGCGCCGGGAAGGGTCGCTACGCCTCTGGTTGGAGTATACTCGAAGGCCATAAGGATGGCCGTTAGTTCGGCTGTGGAGATGGAGGCGCCGTCGGTTATTCTAAGGCTTTTGGAGTAGTTGAGTTGGGGCATGTGGAAATTTTTTATTTTTTTTTTCTTATTTTTTTTAAAAATACTTTTATTTGAAATTAAAACTAGTACACCAACATCACATTTTTTACATAATTTCGAACATCAAATGAAAACGAAAGGTTTTGCAAATGTAATTAATGAATATTTACATGATGTCATGTATATGATTATAAAAAAAATTGGAAAAGGATGACAGTAAAAGGAGTGAAGGTCAAATGAAAGTGTCAGAAGTCTGGGTGGGGAGTGGAAAGGACATTTCTCAGAGAGGGTCAATGGGACAGTGAAGCATTTTCTATGTAGGGAAACAAATTAAGTTGACTAGTTGAAAGAGTGTTTATTTATATACTGGTCGCGTTGAGTTTTCAAAAGGTTGCTGTGTGAAAGATTAGGGGAAAGAAACAAGATTTAGAACTTTAAATAAGTTCTGGATATTGATGTTGAGGTGGGTGGTGGGGTCGTTGGAACAGTTAAAGGGAATGTGGGGTTATCATGTCTGAGGGTAAAGTGGGCAGAGGGGGAGGGGGGTGGATATGTCTGGCGTGGAGAGGGTGTCTGTGTGTGTTAAAGGCAAGCTTCAAATTATGTGCTGTGTGATCTAACTACAGAAGTGTTACTATTTATAGTGTGTGTGGGTGGGGGGGGGGGGAGGGTTTGACGAACAGATTGCTGTGTGAGCGCTTAACCGGGAGGGTGAAAGGTTGGTATGTTCAAGTCGGTGTTTATGTTTATTTGAATGATTAGTACCGACAGGTTAGGGGTGGGTAGGCGTGTAGCTGTTACGGGGTGTGGGGATAGAGTGGAGTTTTAAAGGTCAAAAATTGGTTACCAGTGTTTTCATAGAAGAGTTAGTAAAGTTAACCAAACAACTGTAAGTATTAATTTGGTGATAAAAATGCGAATTCAAAAGGAGTAGGGGTCATTGGGGTCATTTTGTACGTTGTGGACCAAAGTACCTTACTACGTATATTTTTTTTTTTTTTTTTTTTTTTTTTTTTTTACCTTACTACGTATATGATATTAGTAAAATAGAATGTGGAAACTATTTAGAAATAGCTTTAACTAGATTTATTATTTTACTGGAAACTATTTAGAAATAGCTATAACTAGAATTTTTAAAGCTATTATTTTACTGGAAACTATTTAGAAATAGCTTTAACTAGATTTATTATTTTACTGAAAACTATTGGGAACAGTGTAATCCAATGTATGTAAAATATTAAGCATTTTAGATATTGATATGAAAAATGTTTCTAAAAATAATTTATAAAAAGGTAACGAATGTACAAGATATGCATTACAAAGTTTTTAAAACATATTTTCAGTTATTTATAAAATCAAATTTAATGCTGTTTTATAACAGTAAAATCATAATTACCAATGTAAAAATGTCACGAGTGTATATCTCGCAACTTTATTTTGGTAAAATTTTTTGATTATTTCCCCTAGTCTCACTAATACTGTCCGTTTAAAAGTGTACTAATACACTGAATATGGTACGGTTGTTTAAGTAAGTAAAGTATGAGTACACTTTCGAACTAAACAGTCCATGGGCAAGGAGAAACAGAGTTCACCTGTTTATTTAGGAATAGTATGGTCAGCATTTTGCTCAGCCGTCTATACTTTCCTTAACATAAGTCATGGACGCATGAGAGCTGGGTAGAACATCTTACAGACTCGAGCCCTGGGATCCGAACTCAAGACTTTCGTGTTAGCAATCGAATGCTCTACTACTTGACCACGTCGTTCCACAACTCTGTTTCTGTACCGTCGTGTAGTAAGGATAGTGTAGTCAACACTACGCCCAACCGCCTTTACTCCTTATACTAACTTAAACACGGGATCCGAACTTAAGACGTATGTGTTAGAAGTTGAACGATCTACCAATTCGACCCCCTCCCTTGTCTCTTTGATAGTTCTAAGTTTCTTCCGCTAATGCCGCTAGTTCTTAGTATCATTTCTCTAATGAATCAGGTACCAATCCAAAATAGACATACAACATGTCTTACTTTAGAAGCGAACTAGCTACTCTATAGTCAGTAGGCTACTCGCGACCTAAGTATCCACCAGATCTATCAATGGATACACTAGGGGTCATACGGAACTTAACTGGATACTTTTGGGTTAGCACTCGTGCGCTCTACCGCCCAACCACACTACTTACTACATGTTACAGCCATCAATAACATAACACGATAAAAATCTATACGTGTATGTTTTTTAATTCATAAAACTCACCCAATACGCTGATAGTTCATAAACGACAAAAATATATATGTGTATGTATTTTAAATCATAAAACTTACCCAATACGCTCAGAGTTTCTTCCAGGCATCTCTTCGGGGGGGGGGGGGGGGGCTTTGCTACCGCCCCCCCCCCCCGAACGAAATGAAATGTATATAATTTATATAGAAAATATATACTTTTAACAGAGTCCGCCCCCCCCCCCGAAGAAAGACTACCGCCCTCCCCCCCCCCCCCCCCCCCCCCCCACCGAAAATTTCAAGTGCCCCCCCAGGAGAAAAAAGTCTGGAAGAAACACTGAATACGCTGATAGTTCATAAACGACAAAAATCTATACGTGTATGTATTTTAAATCATAAAACTCACCAAGTACGCTGATAGTTCAAATCTTAGCTGGACAACAGGATGATTTGATTTCGTACACAAGTAGTTAAGTCTCTGTGACCTTCATACAAAGCTCTCAATAACGATACATTTGTCGGACCGTTTGTTTACTTAATCAAGTCGTTAATTAGACTTGGCATAACACGGTGTGAATTTAGAAAAAAAGTGAACGTTACTGTAAGCACTGTGATATTTAGAGCACAATACGTTTATAAGTACGAGGCAGGTTGGTTGGAGCGTGCCGGTATCAGCAAAAGGTTCAAGGTTCGAATACAAGTCATGATAGATACGATAGAGATAAATTGACACACTTTTTAGGACTTTTTCTAAATTTTTAGGACATGTCAGGACTACGGCTAGTATTTGAGGACTTTGTCGTATTGCTTATGTTTGTATACAATTAATGTCATGACATTGGCTTGATTTTAAGGACATAACAGGACTGTGTCTATATCATTATAAAGTACAAGAAATTTGTCTTGTTTTAGGTAATGTCTGAAGTATCTAGGCTTTTAGCGCTCACGACTTTTTAAAAATTAGTTTATAACTGGTTAGAGATCATGCTAGGACACAGAGGCGTAGCGAGGGGGGGGGGTGGTGGCGGGGGGGGGGACATATGTCCCCGGGCGCCGACCTTAGGGGGGCGCCAAATTAAAAATTTGAGGGGGAGGGGGTGCAAATAAAAGTTCGAGGGGGGTGCACATTGAAAGTTCGAGGGGGAGGGGGTGGAAATCGAAAGTTTGTCCCCGGGCGCCGGGAAGGGTCGCTACGCCTCTGCTAGGACATTAGCGCGACACTTAAGGACATATCAGGACCCGGTCGGTATTGACAAAATAGGTAATTATCGACACCCTAGCATAGAACTCAAAACAGCTTTTAACATTTTCCATGCGTATTATGTCTTTTCTTCTTATTCTTCGTTTATAATATGTTGGATGGGATATCCTCCAACACAGCTCAGTATTGAGTTTCAACATGTAGTTCGCCATATAGACCCTGGCCACCATTCCAACCTCATGGTTGTTTATTTTTTGGATTTGCTTCAATAGCTTTTGTCCAACCAACATCACGTTTTCTCTTCAAGATGGGTTGCTGTCCCCAGTAATCGAAACCTCACTGCCTGGGTGTTCGAACTCGATACTTTTCTCTGTAGCAACTATGAGCTTCAACCGCTCAACCACGCCACCCCTATCAGATCTTGTTATACTCTGGCTGAAGTTACAGTCCAACTCTACTCCCTCTGCGTGGCTTTCCGACTAGACTATTTTCTCTCTTTAGTGATGTTAACACGAGACCTAGATGTTAACGCTCTAAGTGCGGTTGTAATAGCATTACTTAACTAATTGTTATAACATGTAAATTAACTATGCATATTAAGAATGAAAATGTTTTTTTTAAAAATGTTTCCCCCACTTCTGCAACAGATAACCTTGCCCTGCCCACCCAACCCGGCAAAAGCCAAGAAAATGGCACTGGCTAGGAAGCTGAAAGAGGAGAAAATGAAACAGCCAATCAAACCACAGGTCTGTATTTACCCCTGTATACATCTCGCTGTTTACTGTTAGCTCTGTCATGCAGGGGAGGGCGGGTGGGGCGACCGCCTCGGGCGCCGACCCTAAGGGGGCGCCATATTGGGTATGATAAACCATAAAACCTCATTTTGAGTTACATTATTGAATTATGCAGCGTTAAAGTGCAGGAAATCGACTATTACCCAGCTCTCCTGGTTGATTGATTTAACTTCTATCTTCGCCTTCCCCCCCCCCCCCTCCCCAAACCATTTCCAAAAAAAGGTGGGGGAGGGGGGCGCTTTTGCCTACAAGATGAACTATATTTTTATACCAGGAAAGGGGGGCGGGCGGAAGTTTGATAGTTTGTCCCGGGCGCCGGAATGGGTCGCTACGCCTCTGCTGTCATGTCTGAGTAAGCTGTTGGAGTTGGACGTCGTATCGCAGCGTGTGGGAGTATTGTCTAACATAGACAATATACTGATGTAAGCGATCAATATACGCCATGATTGTAACCGATATCTTCATAAACAAGTTGGTTGGAGTTTGCCGTGTTGAGGCCCGCCTGGCTAATGGGAGACACCTCCTGGGCCGGTGATGTCAGTAGAGAAAGAAAATCAAGACAACCGACATACTGCTCAGAAAGGGAGGAGGCTGGGTTTATGAGAAGAAGCCTGGCAATTAGAATAGAAGATAAGATAGGGTGTGAGGGGTAGGGGGGGTTAACTTCTGGTTAAATTGCTTGATGTCATGTATGCTTTAAGACTTTTAGAGATCTAAAGCAGGGGTCTCCAAACTTTTCAGTTCGAGGGCCGCATTAACTATCAAATTTCAGTTCGGGGGCCAGTTTATTCCAGGCATGTCTTTGATTTTTCTAGGCAAAGTTCCTCAGCCAGCACCAGCAAACGTTTTTTCCGTGGACAAAAAGATCTCCGCGGGCCGGATGAGAGGACCTCGCGGGCCGCATCCGGCCCGCGGGCCGTAGTTTGAAGACCCCTGATCTAAAGGAAAGTTAATGGAGTTAAATTAGTTAAGCACATTTCTAGCTTAAACACAAAAATACAATATTTCAGTGGATGTGTCACTGGAAGGCGTTCAACAGACACCATTTTCCACGAAAATAAAGTTAGGTTTTAAAGAAAAAAAAATCATCCAACTATTTAGAATAGTATTTTTATTTTTATTTATTATTTTTTTGCAAATAAGAAAAATGAGTATCAAAGTCAGTGTTAAATAGCATTGTTCTTTTTCATACTCACTGTCTACTTTATTATTATGTGTTATGCAACAAGCATACCCTGTGCGGACCCCACCCCCACCCCCTGATGCCATTGTGTAAGCACATACATGTTTAGGGTTAACGGTACCAACGGTCGTCCTTCATCCTGGCATGTCGCATTCCTGGCCATGTGACGACAGACAGACCGACAGACAAAACCAGCCAATCAGCGTGAGGCAGGAGGTGTGAAACGACAAACGATCACATGACCGTCTGCAGGGACCAGACGTGATGTCACGTGATTCACAACACGCCATCAGAGCTGTGACGTCATTAACAAAAGATTGGAGACCATCGATTGGTGTGGTGGGATGGTAGAGAGTGGGAGTGGTAACCCTGAAGTCTCGAGTTCGGATCCTAAACACGAGTCCGTAACACCTACATGAGCCCACCCAGGTCTGAAGAGTACCTGACACACGTAATTGAAAGTAAACCAGGCTGGTCATAGTGCTGAACAAACTATCCGTTCATTTGCCGAAGTCACAGAAACAGATGAACTCTACTTTACATGTGAACCGTCAGGTTCGAAAGGGAACTTTACTTTGACCAAGCATAGCTACATTTGCTGGTACACTATTCTGTATCCGGTGCACATGTGCGTGCACTGAGCCTTTTGTTATTCCCAATCGAAAGTCTAGACTATCAGAAGATTCGTCTATTATAGCAGTTTTTAAAACATCCAAAGAAATCGCAAACATTTACATTCAATGCTGAACGGCACTTATAAAAAGAGAAACTCTAAGTTATGCCTGGTTATGTGTATGACGGATTTTTAAACTCTTTTTGTTTACCTTTACAAGCAAGAAGCTTTATTGGCGTAACTATGGGGTGCGAGGGGGTGACTGCCCGGAGCAAGATATTTTTAGTTTTAAAATAGTTATTTAGAGAGAAAAAAAGTGGGAGAGGTGGAGGTAAATAGAAAAAAAAGTCACCTAGGAAAAATATGTAAAAGAGTAAATTGTGGGCTTCAATACGAACTATACATTTTGTTTCACGTCCCTAGTGTTGAATAATGTAAAGTTCTAATACTACCTACTTGTTACATTACACCCCTTGGTATTATCTTACATGTTAAGCGGCCTTGGCTAGTTTGCTTTCGACGGTAGGTTTGTAGTAAAATAATTTTTTTTAAATATCTGGTTTGTGTTTAAATGAAGAAAATATTTTATAATATGAAGATGACGTATATTAGTTTAATTATTCCGGTGAACATTGATGAGGAAATGTTATGTCAATGTGAATGTGTGTAGGTAACCATTGATGAGGAATGTTAATGAGAAAGACGTAATTTGTCTAATTATTTGTGTAGGTAACCATTGATGAGGAATGTTAATGTGAATGACTTGAATTGTCTAATTATGTGTGTAGGTAAACATAGATGAGGAAATGTTAATGAGAATGACGTCATTGGTCTGATTATGTGTGTAGGTAACCATTGATGAGGAAATGTTATGTTAATGAGAGTGACGTCATTAGTCAAATTATGTGTAGGTAAACATTTATGAGGAAATGTTATGTTAATGATTATGACGTCATGTGTCTAATTATGTGTGTAGGTAAACATAGAGGAATGTTAATGAGAATGACGTCATGTGTCTAATTATGTGTGCAGGTAAACATAGAGGACCAACAGAGAGAGAACAAGAGAGAGAAGAAAGTCGTGCAGGAGTACAATGAGGCGGAGACCAGTCCTGCCAAGGTCACCAAGTGGTATATGGGGGAGTATGGGAACACGGATGGTAAGTGGGGGCATGTGGGGAGGGTGTGAAGGTGGTTGGTGTGGGAAGGTTGATGTGGGGTGTGAGATTATGTGGGGTTATAGGTCTGGTGGGTTTTTTTTTTTTTTGGGGTATGTTTGGGGGTTGGGATTTAGATGTGAGAACAGAGTTTCTTCCAGGCATCTCTTCAGGGGAGGGGGCTGAAAAACGTCTACCGCCCCCGAACAAAATGAAATTTATATACAAAATATAATACTTTTACCAGTGCACCTCCGAAGAAAAGTCTTTAAGAAACACTGTGGGGGGGGGGGGGGGGGGGATGTGGGTATGTTGTTGTTGAGTGGTATGTGTGTCATTTTTATGACGTGGTAAGTTTTGGGTGGTTGGTGTGGGGGATAACAGGTATGGGGGGTTGTAAATGTGGGAAAATGTTGGTTTTGTTGTGGTAGGTTTTGAGTAGCTGGTGTTTGGGATGTTATTTGTGTTGTAGTAGGTTGGTGTGATGGCTGGATCGGTGTGTTGCTAGATCTAATTTTGTCTTGTGAAACAAACTGGGAATAAGATAAACGTATTTAAGTGTGATGATTCAGTTTTTGACACTTTATTTTTTTATTTCCCTCCTCCCCCCTGTTCCCTACACCTCCGATAAACCCAACTTTTCGACCCCCTGTTCCCTACACCTCCGATAAACCCAACTTTCCGACCCCCTGTTCCCTACACCTCCGATAAACCCAACTTTCCGACCCTCTGTCCCTACACCTCCGATAAACCCAACTTTCCGACCCCCTGTTTCCCACACCTCCGATAAACCTAACTTTCCGACCCTCTGTCCCTACACCTCCGATAAACCCAACTTTCCGACCCCCAGATGACGAAACCGACAAGCTCCACTTAGTCTACATGCAGGCCGGACGTTGGGCCCTGGAGCCGGCGGTCACTTTCAAACAGCTCAAGGTGGACGTGCTGGGCTTTTCTCTGGACTACCCGGTGGAGAGGTCAGTGAACTGGGATGGGGTAGGGATGGGGGACCCGATTAATTAGGTTGATCTGTGACAGTTACTGAAAAATAATTGTAACAATATATGGAATAAAGTATATATATATATATATATATATGTATATATATATATACATATATTAGTGTTTATATATATATATATATATATACATATATATATATATATATATATATATATATATATATATATATATATATATATATATATATATATATATATATATATATATATATATATATATATATATATATATATATATATACATATATTAGTGTTTATATATATATATATGTATATGTATATGTATATGTATATGTATATGTATATGTATATGTATATGTATATGTATATGTATATGTATATGTATATGTATATGTATATGTATATGTATATGTATATGTATATGTATATGTATATGTATATGTATATGTATATGTATATGTATATGTATATGTATATGTATATGTATATGTATATGTATATGTATATGTATATGTATATGTATATGTATATGTATATGTATATGTATATGTATATGTATATGTATATGTATATGTATATGTATATGTATATGTATATGTATATGTATATGTATATGTATATGTATATGTATATGTATATGTATATGTATATGTATATGTATATGTATATGTATATGTATATGTATATGTATATGTATATGTATATGTATATGTATATGTATATGTATATGTATATGTATATGTATATGTATATGTATATATATATATATATATATATATATATATATAGGTATTTATTTATATGATTGGAGAAGAGGCATTTACGACAGAAAGATGATATAATATTATTTATACCTAGGTTATCGCTTAGATCCACGGTCTCACGTTTGCTTTTTTGCACATTTCAGGTTTATGGTTCTGCGCACGCGCACTACGGTGACTGATGACGTAGTACTCAACATCGTCACGGGGCTGAACGACTCGTTGGGCAAACGTTTCGTGGAGGCTGTCATTCGTCAGAAGTAAGTCTATCGCTTGTACGCTCTTGTACGCTCCTTACGAGGAAGTGGTTCTAATGGCTTGAGAAATACACCGATACTGGTAATAGAGTTTTATCTCGTGAACTTGTTTTCTTCAACAAACAATAAAATGCTACATAAGAAAACAGTTTCTTCCCCTGTATTTTTTTTATCTCCCTTCACTGCTCAATCTTCTGACATGACAGACAACCCATTCAACAAACAATAAAAACAGCATACACAACAAAACAGTTACTTCCCCTGTATTTTATAATCTCCCAGGAGAGACAACCCATTCAATCAACAATAAAAAGCCCACACAACAAAACAGTTACTTCCCCTGTATTTGTAATTTCCCTTCTGACAGGACAGACAACCCATTCGAGGTAGCGCTGCAGGTCACTCCCGTCTCAAGGCTGGACACTGTGGTCAAACATCTCGCCCAGCGTGGGTTCGAATCCGGTCCAGCGCCAAGCCATGTCCTATGTCTACATGAAGGTATGTCTAGTCTTACCTTCATTTTTTAAATAATCATAGCTAGCATAAATAGGTAACCGCATTAAGACAGCAACTTTGTTCAAGGTTATTGTTGAAAGAAATAATATACAGTAGCACTCTGATGATGGGTAAATGGAGAACAATAAAACCAAGACTAACTGTAAAGATAGAAATGTTTTTTGCGTCACAAATTATATTAGTTCTGTAGATGATCTATTTAACACACACCACAAACTGACCATATAGTGTATGTAATACAATATACGGTATGTACCATACTATGTAACACATTGACCGTATACTATATATAAAACACACCACACACTGAACATATACTGTAAGTAACACACACCACACACATATACTGTATGTAACAAACTGACCATATACTGTATGTAACACAGCATATACTGTATATACCACACTATGTAACACACTGACCATATACTGTATATACTACACTATGTAACACAACATATAACGTATGTAACACGCTATGTAACACAGCATATACTGTATATACCACACTATGTAACACACTGACCATATACTGTATGTACTACGCTATGTAATACAACATAATACTTATGTACCACACTATGTAACACCCTATACACTGACCATATAATGTATGTACCACACTATGTAACACAACATATACTGTATATACCACACTATGTAATACAACATATGCTGTATATACCACACTATGTAACACAACATATGCTGTATATACCACACTATGTAACACAACATATACTGTATATACCACACTATGTAACACAACATATGCTGTATATACCACACTATGTAACCCGCTATACACTGACCATCCACAGGTGACCTGATCGAGGTTGGGTTCAGTGGCAACATTGAGTGCAGTGACGAGGTGCCAGAGACTCTCATCTACAAGTCAAACGTACCCACAGTGGTCAGTTTCAGAGCTTGATGTTACAGTAGATTATCTATCCTAATCGGATAAGTAGATTATCGGTCCTAATCGGATAAGTAGATTATCGGTCCTAATCGGATAAGTAGATTATCGGTCCTAATCGGATAAGTAGATTATCGGTCCTAATCGGATAAGTAGATCATCGGTCCTAATCGGATAAGTAGATTATAATGTCTTAATCTGATAATTAGATTATGCCTTAATCTGATAATTAAATTATATATCCAAATCTTATAATTAGATTATTTGTCCTAATATGCTAATTAGATTACACCTTAATCTGATAATTAGATTATGTTTCATAATCTGATAATTAGATTATGTGTCTTAATCTAATAATTAGATTATCCGTCTTAATGTAATAATTAGATCATGTGTCTCGAGTTCGGGTAAAATGTGAATGAACGTGAATTTGTTTATCGTCTTCCATGTTTTCCATAGAAACAGTGACCTCGTCTTCTCACATGGTCACCAACTAATGTGTTGTGTTTCTTTCAGGCGGTTACCAGTTGTTGTGTTGTGTTTCTTTCATACGTTTACCAGCTGCTGTGTTGTGTTTCTTTCAGGCGGTTACCAGTTGTTGTGTTGTGTTTCTTTCATACGTTTACCAGCTGCTGTGTTATGTTTCTTTCAGGCGTTTACCAGCTGTTGTGCTGTGTTTCTTTCACACGTTTACCAGCTGCTGTGTTGTGTTTCTTTCAGGCATTTTTCACCGTGAGGGAGGAGAACAGATTCCGGCAGAAGGACCATGACGTCTACAGCGGTCTGGTCAGCCTGACCCGGAAGTTCATGGCCACACCCCAGAAGGGGAGGAAAGGTCAGGATGACACGGAGCAGAGGGAGTGGAGGCGGGAACAGCTGTGTACGTTACAGGTCAATATACCAAAGGTGAGGGGTCAAAGGTTAAAGGTACAGATCAATATACCAAAGGTGAGAGGTCAAAGGTTAAAGGTACAGATCAATATACCAAAGGTGAGAGGTCAAAGGTTAAAGGTACAGATCAATATACCAAAGGTGAGGGGTCAAAGGTTAAAGGTAGGGGTGGTTCTAGGTTAAAGGTACATATCAATATACCAAAGGTAAAGGTAGGGGGGGGGGGGGGGGTTGGAGGGTTATTGTCAAAGTTTAAAGGTCAGTGGTAGGAATGGGTGAAGATATCAGGTATAGATATCTTAAGGGGGGGGGGGAGGTTGAAAAAGGTAAAATGTTGGGGTGGTTCGAGATTCAAGGTAAAATTAGAGGGGGGGGGGGGTAAAGTTCACTGTTAAGCATATAGGGATGGTTTCAGAAAAAAATATTGGTATGTCCCCCAGTACCACATATGACCATATTTTTGTATACCCCCCTCAGTACCACATATGACCATATTTCTGTATGCCCCCCCCCCCAAGTACCACATATGACCATATTTCTGTATGTCCCCCAGTACCACATACGACCATATTTCTGTATGTCCCCCCAGTACCACATAGAACCCAACACTGAGCCACTGAGGGCCCCGGTACATGCCGTGGAAGCCCAGGGCCCGATAGACAAAGATCTTCTGATGGACATCGCTGACCAGCTGGGGGACGAGTGGAAGAAGGTGGCGCACCATCTCGGTGTACACAGGGCCAGGGTTCAGGTGTGTACTGTGTTGTAGGTCAGGGTAGAGGTGTGTAGTGTGTTGTAGGTCAGGGTCGAGGTGTGTAGTAGGTCAAAGGTCAGTATTCAGGTGTGTACATTATAGGAGGTCAGGGTTCAGCTGTGTAGTGTGTCAAAGGTCAGGGTCGAGATGTGTAGTAAAAGTCAGGGCTCAGTTGTGTAGTGTGTTAAAGGTCAAGTTCAGGTGTGCAGTGTGTCATAGATCAGGGTCGAGGTGTGTAGTGTGTTAGAGGTCAGAGTTCAGGTGTGTAATGTGGTGTAATTTGTAATTAAACATGTAGGTGTGTAATGTGTAGTTTACAATAGCTCAGAGTTCAGGTGTGTAATGTGTCGTAGGTCAGCGTCCAAGATGTGCTAACAAACGATCTACACACTTTTCATTTCTCCATGCGTCTATTATTAGTCATTTATATATGATGCATGGCTAGCAAAATAAAAACATATAGGCCAACAAGTAGCAAGTGGATTAAAACAGTGTAAACTAGTTTGCGTACATTTAAAAGATTAATTTTTTTGCGTTTCATTTATTTGTATTTAATTAAATTTCATTCTTTTGAATATTCATTTAGAAAAATTTCATATTGTATTATATTGAAGATTTCCTCAACTGGAAACTCATATTTCTTATAATTTATAAGCTGATATATCTAGATATTTCATAAGTTCATAATGTTTATGTTTTGATGTATTTTGATGATGTGAATTGCCAGAAGTGAAAAATTAGGGCCATGGCCATCTGTTTTCAGGCCATCGTGCGTAACGTGACGGTGGGGGAGAGGCCAGGACGGGAGGCCAAGTACGAGATGCTGGTCACGTGGATCAAAAGTGCGGCCAAGGCTCTCGACAAGGTCAGTTGGACATGAGATGGGTTAAGATTACCCTCCACTCACACTCCTGACCTATGCCTCACACAGTTCATTGTCACATTGTCCAGAAACCCAACCTAAAAATATTAGGCCATGATTTATGGACCTCTTACATCTACCTGTGTCGTGTATTTAGTTATATACTCACCTGTGTAACACACCTCTATCATATACTCACCTGTGTAACACATCTCTACCTATCATGTACTCACCTGTACAACACACCTCTATCATGTACTCACCTGTGTAACACACCTCTATCTTGTACTCACCTGTGAAACACACCTCTAGCATATACTCACCTGTGTAACACACCTCTATCATATAGTCACCTGTGTAACACACCTCTATCATGTACACACCTGTGTAACACACCTCCACCAATCACATACTTATCTGTGTAACACACCTCCACCAATCATATACTTATCTGTGTAACACACCTCTATAAAGTACTCACCTGTGTAACACACCTCTATCATGTACACACCTGTGTAACACACCTCCACCAATCATATACTTATCTGTGTAACACACCTCCACCAATCATATACTTATCTGTGTAACACACCTCCACCAATCATATACTTATCTGTGTAACACACCTCTATAAAGTACTCACCTGTGTAACACACCTCTATCATATACTCACCTGTGTAACACATCTCTATAAAGTACTTACCTGTGTAACACACCTCCACCTGTAACACACCTCCACCTGTCACATACTCACCTGTGTAACACACCTCCACCTATCATGTACTCACCTGTGTAACACACCTCTATCATGTACTCACCTGTGTAACACACCTCCACCTGTCACATACTCACCTGTTTAACACCTGTGTAACACCTGTGTAACACCTGTGTAACACCTGTGTAACACCTGTGTAACACCTGTGTAACACCTGTGTAACCACCTGTTGCAGGTGTCTGTCCTGTCCGCTGCCCTGGTCAACTCTGACCGCTACGACCTGGCAGAGACCGTCAAGGAGCGGGGGCGGGAGTTCAACGGGTACAGACAAGGTCACATGACCGCCGTTAATTAGGTCACGGCCTGATGGAGACAAGCACTGACCCACAACACGGACACGCATGCCTTAACTTGTTGTATGATGTAACATCTCTTCTAGTGCTTATTATGTATTCATATTTCACTAATTATTCGTTGAAACAAGCACAATGCCTGATAAACCTTGCCTTGTTTTAGACTTCATTTTAAAAGATTATACTAGGGGTTCAAGTCACTGAGTCGATTCAGCTCTAAAGGGTACCTGACTCACGTTAGGTTTGATAGTGCGAGATTACAAAAAAACGGATGAACTGAACTTCACTTTACCCTTGAACCGTCAGGTTCGAAAGGGAATTTTACTTACTTGCAACAGGGGTAAAAAAAAATAATATAATTCAAAGCAAACTAATAGCATTTTACCCCCGTCAATAGTATGCAAAACTAACAGATAAATAGGTATTGAAAAAAAAAATTCAACGCAATCATGAACATAATTCAGAATTATCAGTAATTGAGACGATGATATAATATGATGATCGAGGTTCCTTGTACTACCAGTACCAATAATATATTTTCATATCTAGGCACACTTGACACGTATACATACATACATATATATATATATATATATATATATATATATATATATATATATATATATATATATATATATATATATATATATATATATATATATATATATATATATACACGTAACTCTACACAAATCAACACACAAGCACACTTTAAAAAAGCGTCTTAAAACGTTTTTAAAACATGCATTCAAAAAGCCTGTGATAATCATAAATGAGATAAAATGTTGTTTCAAAATGTTACTACTTATCAAATATTTGTTTTAGTGTTGTAATACAATCCTCTTTTGCTCTCAAAATTACAATTAAACACAAAATATGATACTGATTATAATATATAATAATAAATATAATATAGTAAGTATATGTCCATATTTTTATTATAAAATAAACCTGTACAATTTTTACGTACTTTGACAGATCGCTAACTATTTTTCAATTTAAAAGAAAAAAATTTAAATTAAGATTGAATTGCACGATCATTATAATTGTCAAACAAAAATTAATAAAACTGAAACGTGATTCTTGAGCTTTCTATTAAGTTTTATGTTCTATTTATAGATAACTATTCTATGACAGAGTTTATAGAGTATTGGAGTGTATATTTCGCTTTAAAGGTTTTAAAAGGCTTTTATTTAATCTTCGCTGTCTAAATGCCGCTAACCAGAAAAACGATTATAAAACATCAAAATTTATGGTGGCCCAAGTATAATACAATAATGACATGAATTGTTAATTTTATAAATTGATAATATAAGCTTTCTTCGAGTTATAAATCTTATTTTGTCATTTCTGTTCATGTCTGTTTTATGAGTAAACTATTGGATGCAAAACAGTGAGTTATAAAGGGAGGGGGGGGGGAGGGGGGGGGGGGTCAGGCCTACTCCTATCAGAAATGAAAGGAGTGAAGAGAGTGAAATGCCACTCGTCTGCAAGTTTTGTGGTGGCAACAGATTATGCAGATACAGCAAAATGTCAAAACTATCAAATGTCACAAACATAAATGTTACAAAAAATGTCATAACCACACAATGTCACAAAACACCAAATGTCTTATCGCAACCATGACAACAAAACATGGACCACACAAACGACCATCAAACAGCCACACAATTTAAAGCCAATGGTATCAATATTATTGTTGTATATTTTATCTTTTTATATATGCTTAACAATATATTTTTAACATATTGTAATATTTTTATGTGTAATAATGCATGTTCATATAGTTAAAACAAATAAAGCCTACACAAATACGATAGGATCTTGGTATTTATAATACAAAGTGTATAACTCAAATGAGTCTTAAGTCTCACCCTACTGTAAAAGTTAGTTTTCCCTTTCAAACCTGACGGTCTATGGGGGAAGTGAAGTAGAGTTCACTTGTTCACTTGTGACCTCAGCATATAAAAGGATAATGTGGTCAGCACTATGCCCAGCCGCCTTTGCTTTCCTTAACGTAAGTTAGCTATGGAAGCAAATCCAAAAAGAAAAGCAGGCTGAAATCGGAGTCAATGGCCTCAATGGCGCATAACCAGTTGACACGTAACGCTTAATTGTGTTGGAGGCGGTCGAGTCGGCAAAAAGCTCATGGTTGATAAATTCGAACACAGTCTCGAGGTAAAACCCACTGGCAGATAGATCTCGATCCCCTTCAACACTAATAATTAAGAACGAAGAAGAAGAAGAAGGAGTGTCAGCTCATAGTAGGTGTTGTCTTTGTTAAATTTGGTGTCAAAGGTCATTAACACCAGCCCTAAGCTTAACAAAGTGAGCGATCAGAAACATGGTAGAACCAACTTGTCGTAGTGTTTACAGTTCTGTCGAAGCGGTTTGGTACCATGTGGAGCTGTGTGTTCGGATCCTATCCGGCTATGATTATTCCATTGTTACAAAGACTATTCTCCGTCTAGCTTTGGCGTGGGAATAACACCACTATTGTAGCATCTGACACCTCTCCTAGTCAGAGTGCGGAAAGTATCGGGGAAAAAAACATTGATCTTTGTTTTGGGTGTTCGAGTTCGAATCCAGGTTCAAGTCACAGAACGTAACAGAGTCCATCCAGCTCTAATGGGTACCTAACTCGCGTTAGGGAAAGGCCGATAGACTTAGTGTTGACCACACTATCCCTTCATATGCAGAGGTCACAGAAACAGTTAAACTCTACTTCACTTGTCCTATGGACCGTCAGTTTCGAAATGGAATTTTACTTATTTTGTTTTGGTAAGAAAAAAAAACACAGACGAAAAAATAGATATAACCGTAGACATAAACCCAGCAATAACAGCGAAGTTGGAGAAAATATACAAGATGATAACGACAGTGGCGTAGCGAGGTCGGGCGTCACCCGGTGCGGCACTTAATGGTGTCACCCCCCCCAGAGGCGTAAGCGACCCTTCCCGGGGACAAACTTTCAATTTTCGATTTGCAACACCCCCCCCCTCCCTTAAACTTTCGATTTGCACACCCCCCCCCCCATCTCAAAATTTCGATTTGCCCCTCTTAAAACACTATTTAACACTCGAATCAATCACTTAATTAAGTGGAATTATAATTTTTCTCTATATATTTTGCTATTTTTTGCCTTGGTGTCACCCCCCCCCCCCTAAATGGTGTCACCCGGTGCGCTCCGCACCCCCGCACCCCAACCCCCGCCATCCCCCTCCCCCCTCGCTACGCCTCTGGATAACGATACCAATGCAAACATTTTTACTTCAATCGGAAATTTCCGATCATGCACTTACATTTTACAGAAATAGCTTCTCTCTAAAATTCTGCATCGTGTTTATAAAATAAACAAAAGCATTTTTAATTCGGCCATAATTTTTAAATAAACGGGTAATTTTCTAACCGGGATTTTATTAGAATACCCCGTCAAATTAAAGCTTTTATATGTGTTTTTTAAAACTTATTTCTTAATAACCGTTAAAGCGTAACAAATACAATTCAATCGTTGGGTTTTGAATCCCCCTTTTTAACGCACCGAAGCGGAAGTGAAGAAAAGCAAAACATCGAGGGAAGTTTGTGGGCAGTGACAGGCGTCTGCAAGTCCAATGGCTAAAACCACATTCATGAAGTCATTCGCTGGTCACTAGCCTTAGGACTTTCCACCTTGGAGTTCAGTTGGTCCCTGGCGAGACCGCCTTTCTGCTCAAACGGTTTCGTTCATATGTGATTTCGGCCTTTACGTTTTCGTCTCCATCGTTCTTTTCATCAAATCAAACCAAGTTAGAAGCTATAGCTCGTATATTTAGAAACAAAGTTCTAATGTATCGAGGCAGTGGCGTCACAAGGGGGTGCGGGTGACGCCCGTCCTAGTGACGCCATTGTATCGAAGCTGTGTGTTTTACTATTGTCTCAAAAATCGAACTTTAAGACTGGAAATGTTGTGGTTGAGTGTTGACCCGCTCACGAGCTAACCCGAAAGCTTTGAGTTCGGTTCCTTGCTGGAATCAGTCTGGCGTCCCTGAGTTCACTCAGCTCTGATGAGTACCTGAAACCTAGTTAGGGAAAAGTAAAGGCGGCTGGCCATAGAATAGAACCGACTACAATAGCCTTTCACACGGCTAGGTCACAGAAATAGGTGAATTCTACTTCCTCTGTTCCATTGACTGTATATTTCCAATCGGGTAGTTTTACTTTTACTACCCTACCTGTAGAAGTAAGAAAAGTTCGCTTTCGAACCTGACGGCCCACTGGTCAAGCGAAATAAAGTTCACCTGTTTCTGTGACCTCGGTATATGAAAGAATATTGTGGTCAGAATTATGCCCAGACTACTTTATTTCCCCTAACGTAAGTCAGGTACCCATCAAAGCTGGATGGACTCAGGGAAGTGCAACGACTCTAGCCTGGGACCTGAACTCAAGACTTTCGGGTGAGCAGTGGAAAGGTCTACTATTCAACCACACCTCTCCTACCCTAGAGTCCACATTATTTAACCAACAACTTCACATATTCGACCCATCCCTACTCATAAAACACCGCCAAGCTTCATTCTTTTATATTCAGTTCTCTAATCTTCATTCCTATTATCCTCATTTATTTCTTACTTCCTCTTTATCCATCCCTCTTATTAATTTTTCTCACCTTCATTACCCTCCCCCCCCCCCCCCATCTTTTTTTTTAGACTTTTATACCGGGATGGGAGATTTGCAATGTTCCGGGGTTTAAAGTATTTTTTCAAATTTAAATTGAACACAAATTTTCCTATTTCATATGGGGTGGGGGAGGTGTTGGGCGAGGGTGGGTTCCCCCTACCCACGGAGAGATGCCTGAAAGAAACACTCATTCTTCTTCTGCGTTTTCAGTCGAATTTTTGTTTCAGGATTTAAAAAAACAAGTCCAACGTCGTGGATGAACTGGACTGTGGTCTCCAGATCAGCGGGTGCCTCATATAGTTTTTTCCTTGAATGGTGTGAAAGAAACACTGATTTCCCTCCAAAGTTTCTTCCAGGCATTACTTCTCCCCCCCCCCCCCCGCCCCCGAAGAAAGGCTACCGCCCCCATCTCAAGAGCGGAAATATATACTTTTAACAGTGTCGGGAAATTTTAATCCGCCCACCCCCCTCTCCCGAAAAATTCAAGTGCCCGCGCCCCCCACCCCCCCCCCCCCCCTGGGGAAAAAGTCTGAAAGAAACACTGATTTCCCTCATCCTCATCCTCATCAGCCTCACTCCTCTCATTTCCTCTCCTCCAGGGGTTATGGGTCTGGGTCATTTCCTCGCCTGGCAACAGCCACACGATCTCCACAAGATGGCCGCACGTGGGTGGGGCACCAGAGCACATGGAGCCGCCCCCTAAGGGGTCGCTGGGATCCGTCTGTTTCTTCCAGCGCTACAAAATCAGGGTCCCGACAATGGCGCTCTCAAACTCCAGGACGGAGCATTCTTTTGTAGGTGAGGTTACTCTTGGGTTAGCCGTACCCTTAGGTAAGTCTTTTGTAGGTGAGGGCACTCTTGGGTTAGCCGTACCGTTAGGTAAGTCTTTTGTAGGTGAGGGCACTCTTGGGTTAGCCGTACCCTTAGGTAAGTCTTTTGTAGGTGAGGGCACTCTTGGGTTAGCCGTACCCTTAGGTAAGTCTTTTGTAGGTGAGGGCACTCTTGGGTTAGCCGTACCCTTAGGTAAGTCTTTTGTAGGTGAGGGCACTCTTGGGTTAGCCGTACCCTTAGGTAAGTCTTTTGTAGGTGAGGGCACTCTTGGGTTAGCCGTACCCTTAGGTAAGTCTTTTGTAGGTGAGGGCACTCTTGGGTTAGCCGTACCGTTAGGTAAGTCTTTTGTAGATGAGGGCACTCTTGGGTTAGCCGTACCGTTAGGTAAGTCTTTTGTAGGTGAGGTTACTCTTGGGTTAGCCGTACCGTTACGTCATGATTAGGTAAGTCTTTTGTAGGTGAGGGTATTCTTGGGTTAGCCGTACCCTTAGGTAAGTCTTTTGTAGGTGAGGGCACTGTTGGGTTAGCCGTACCGTTAGGTAAGTCTTTTGTAGGTGAGGGCACTCTTGGGTTAGCCGTACCGTTAGGTAAGTCTTTTGTAGGTGAGGTTACTCTTGGGTTAGCCGTACCGTTAGGTCATGATTAGGTAAGTCTTTTGTAGGTGAGGGCACTCTTGGGTTAGCCGTACCGTTAGGTAAGTCTTTTGTAGGTGAGGGCACTCTTGGGTTAGCCGTACCGTTAGGTAAGTCTTTTGTAGGTGAGGTTACTCTTGGGTTAGCCGTACCGTTAGGTCATGATTAGGTCAGTGATGGTGTAGGTGAGGGCACTGTTGGGTTAGCCGTACCGTTATAATGGAAGCTCATCTATCATGATTAGGTAAGTGTAAGGGAGGGCACTGTTTGGTTAACCGTACCGTTATAATAGAAGCTCAGCTGTCATGGTCAGGTAAGTGTTAGTGTTTGGGTTAAACTATCGATGATCCAACACATCGTTTTGGCATGCGCACTTACCCACGCAGCTGAAGTCATCGACAGAAACCAACCAACATTCTTAACCAAACCCTAATCCTTTAAACACTGTTTGGTACGCATTATACTAAGCTGAAACAGTGCGTCATGGACATGTCTGTCAGTGTGAAGAATGTACTGTCCATCCCCTTCACCACCCCCCCCCCTCATCCCTTCTCGCAATTCAACCAACCGCCAGTTTATAATCTTGTTACATCATGCTGTGATAGGCTTGAACGCGTTCATCAGACTTTACATCGGACTGTAAACGACACATGTGTTAAGTAAAAAAACCTAACCCTAATCCTTTTAAAAAACCTGGGTAAAGGTAAGGCCTGCGACGATACAAGCTGTATAAATATGTGTACATTTTAAGGGTAAGAACTGAAGTCCCATCGTAAGTTTTATCATCGATACCGTCTGATTCTGAAGAGTAGTAGCGAATGCTATCCTTCATTTTATTTATTTACTAAGATAAAGCTTAATAGCTAGATAAGTCCTATAAATAGATCCTCATCTCCTGTAATCGAAGTTTTATGTTACCTGTTAATTCAAAGAAATAAAAAAATTGATTTTGTTTCATCACTCCTAACAATAGTAAACTTATTCTCATCCGTTCTAAATCCTATTCTACCAAATTCTGTTTATTTACTTAATATATGTATCCCTCCGCCCGCAGAATCAAGTCCACAAAGGCATCAGATTTCATTCATTTACAAAATGTTTGTATCCTTCCGCCACCAAAAGCAGGTCGACGCATCTATCACATTCCATTTATTACTCAATGTATCCCTCCGCCAGCCGAAGCTAGTCCACAAAACTATCAGAACCAGAGTCCTTACCCTCGAAGCCCCAGCCCCGGGCCGCTCTGCTCCCAGGGTGAGGACAACCTGTCGTCGCGGAGCTACAGGAAGCCCCCCTTCATCCCCGCCGCCTACCACAAGTCCACGGTGGCCTCCCGCAACAAGCTGAACCCCTGCGCCGTCCGCCTCAAGTCGCAGAGTCCTAAAGGCTACGGGTTTCATAAAGGTGAGATGGAGGTGTGGGGCATGGGGGGGGGGGCTGTGGGGTAACTGGTGAGATGGAGGTGTGGGGCATGGGGGGGGGGGCTGTGGGGTAACTGGTGAGATGGAGGTGTGGGGCATGGGGGGGGGGCTGTGGGGTAACTGGTGAGATGGAGGTGTGGGGCATAGGGGAGCTGTGGGGTAACTGGTGAGATGGAGGTATGGGGTATAAGGGGAGCTGTGAGGTAACTGGTGAGATGGGGGTGTGGGCATAGGGGGAGCTGTGGGGTAACTGGTGAGATGGAGGTGTGGGGCATGGGGGGGGGCTGTGGGGTAACTGGTGAGATGGAGGTGTGGGGCATAGGGGAGCTGTGGGGTAACTGGTGAGATGGAGGTATGGGGTATAAGGGGAGCTGTGAGGTAACTGGTGAGATGGAGGTGTGGGGCATGGGGGGGGGGGCTGTGGGGTAACTGGTGAGATGGAGGTGTGGGGCATAGGGGGTGCTGTGGGGTAACTGGTGAGATGGAGGTGTGGGCATAGGGGGAGCTGTGGGGTAACTGGTGAGATGGAGGTGTGGGGGCATAGGGGGTGCTGTGGGGTAACTGGTGAGATGGGGGTGTGGGCATAGGGGAGCTGTGGGGTAACTGGTGAGATGGAGGTGTGGGCATAGGGGAGCTGTGGGGTAACTGGTGAAATGGAGGTATGGGCCATAGGGATGCTGTGGGGTAACTGGTGAGATGGAGGTGTGGGCATAGGGGAGCTGTGGGGTAACTGGTGAGATGGAGGTGTGGGGGCATAGGGGGAGCTGTGAGGTAACTGGTGAGATGGGGGTGTGGGCATAGGGGGAGCTGTGGGGTAACTGGTGAGATGGAGGTGTGGGGGCATAGGGGGTGCTGTGGGGTAACTGGTGAGATGGGGGTGTGGGCATAGGGGAGCTGTGGGGTAACTGGTGAGATGGAGGTGTGGGCATAGGGGAGCTGTGGGGTAACTGGTGAGATGGAGGTGTGGGCATAGGGGAGCTGTGGGGTAACTGGTGAGATGGAGGTATGGGCCATAGGGATGCTGTGGGGTAACTGGTGAGATGGAGGTGTGGGCATAGGGGAGCTGTGGGGTAACTGGTGAGATGGAGGTGTGGGCATAGGGGAGCTGTGGGGTAACTGGTGAGATGGAGGTGTGGGCATAGGGGAGCTGTGGGGTAACTGGTGAGATGGGGGTGTGGGGGCATAGGGGGAGCTGTGGGGTAACTGGTGAGATGGAGGTGTGCGGGCATAGGGGGTGCTGTGGGGTAACTGGTGAGATGGAGGTGTGGGCATAGGGGAGCTGTGGGGTAACTGGTGAGATGGAGGTGTGGGGGCATAGGGGGAGCTGTGAGGTAACTGGTGAGATGGAGGTGTGGGCATAGGGGAGCTGTGGGGTAACTGGTGAGATGGAGGTGTGGGCATAGGGGAGCTGTGGGGTAACTGGTGAGATGGAGGTGTGGGCATAGGGGAGCTGTGGGGTAACTGGTGAGATGGAGGTGTGGGCATAGGGGAGCTGTGGGGTAACTGGTGAGATGGAGGTGTGTGGCATAGGGGGAGCAGTGAGGTAACTGTAAGGGTTTAAGATCTATGAGGTAATTGGGTGGGTTTAGGATCTGTGGGGTAACTGGGAGGGTTTAGGAACTGTGGGGTTTTTGGGAGGGTTTAGGATCTGTGGGGTTTTTGGGAGGGTTTAGGAACTGTGGGGTTTTTGGGTGGGTTTAGGAACTGTGGGGTTTTTGGGAGGGTTTAGGATCTGTGGGGTTTTTGGGAGGGTTTAGGATCTGTGGGGTTTTTGGGAGGGTTAAGGATCTGTGGGGTTTTTGGGAGGGTTTAGGATCTGTGGGGTAACTGGGAGGGTTTAGGATCTGTGGGATAACTGGGTGGGTTTAGGATCTGTGGGGTAACTGGGTGGGTTTAGGATCTGTGGGGTAATTGGGTGGGTTTAGGATCTGTGGGTTAACTGGGTGGGTTTAGGATCTGTGAGGTTTCTGGGAGGGTTTAGGATCTGTGGGATAACTGGGTGGGTTTAGGATCTGTGGGGTAATTGGGTGGGTTTAGGATCTGTGGGTTAACTGGGTGGGTTTAGGATCTGTGAGGTTTCTGGGAGGGTTTAGGAACTGTGGGGTTTTTGGGAGGGTTTAGGATCTGTGGGGTTTTTGGGAGGGTTTAGGATCTGTGGGGTTTTTGGGAGGGTTTAGGATCTGTGGGGTTTTTGGGAGGGTTTAGGATCTGTGGGGTTTTTGGGAGGGTTTAGGATCTGTGGGGTAACTGGGAGGGTTTAGGATCTGTGGGATAATTGGGTGGGTTTAGGATCTGTGGGGTAACTGGGTGGGTTTAGGATCTGTGGGGTAATTGGGTGGGTTTAGGATCTGTGGGTTAACTGGGTGGGTTTAGGATCTGTGAGGTTTCTGGGAGGGTTTAGGATCTGTGGGATAACTGGGTGGGTTTAGGATCTGTGGGGTAATTGGGTGGGTTTAGGATCTGTGGGGTAATTAGGTGGGTTTAGGATCTGTGGGGTAATTGGGTGGGTTTAGGATCTGTGGGTTAACTGGGTGGGTTTAGGATCTGTGAGGTTTCTGGGAGGGTTTAGGATCTGTGGGTTAACTGGTGGGTTTATGATCTGTGGGAAAGTTTATATCTCAGGGATAACTGGCAAAGTTTAGGGTGTGATAAGTAACTAGAAAAGTTTAGCTGAACGAATGAATTTGGTGGGAAATGGGGCAACCCACTTTTTTGTAAAAATGTACGTTGAAAAAGTAGTTCTAGATAAAAGAAGACTTTTTTTATTAGTTTTAACATGTTATAATAATGTGAAAGTAAATGTATACACATGTATTAAGGTATTCGTTGTATGTCAACAGTTTAAATAAATATATTGGCATATAAATAATCAAGTAAAATAACTTATGTGTGAATATGTGTTTTTTTTTGTGAACGTATATGTGCGTGTGTTCTACAGTCGGGAGACAAAAATTGACATTCCCACCAATGTATCCTAATCGGGTACTAATTTTAGCTCAGCCGGGTGACACCATTTAGGGGGGTGACACCAAGGCAAAAAAAAATAGCAAACAAAACTTTATGGGGGGTGCAAATCGAAAGTTTGAGGGGGGGGGGGTGCAAATCGAAAATTTGAAAGGGTCGCTACGCCTCTGGGGGGTGACACCATTAAGTGCCGCACCGGGTGACACCCGACCTCGCTACGCCACTGACGACACCATATACTTAGTAAGTTAGATTATAGCTTAACTCACCATAACTAATTACATCAGACTAATTAAAGTCACCTTTCTTGTGCCCGTCTTAAGACACCAGTGGTGACACCTCCATCAGAGAAACTTCACAAAGGACGAAAGCGAGGAGATCAATGCAAAATTCGCCAAGTAAGTTCGCTAATTGATCTTTTTGTTAACTTTTACTTCATGTCCGAATATGGTTTGTGGTCAAAGCTCAATGTTTATCCATTGATTTCTTCAAAACTTTCTATATTAGGCATACATATATTTTTTCTATGAATTTATCGAAATATCGCATTTTTAGTATATTATAAGGCACTTGTCATTAAAATATAGGGGATCTTTTCAATAACAAAAGGGGAAATAACTAGATTAAGTAGAGAGATTTTTCGTGACTACAACCAGCTGTTACCTGATTGTTTTAAAATTGTGAGCCGACCATACTTGTACACAGTCTCGAATATTTTAAAAACAAATTGTTGCTTCATTTTTAGCACATTTTAAAACTCGACACAAAAAAGTGACGCCATCTATAGGCCTTGTAAGTAGGTCACCAACCAGTTCTATGGCTCATGCAGTTTTTATTGAGCCGTAGAACTGGTTGGTGACCTACTTACCGGCCCTATAGTTGGCACCCCGCACGTTGTTCTTATCTAACCTATCTTGTAATAAACTTGCAATACTGACATATTGTTTTATTCTACTGTAGCGATCAGCCCATCGTGGGGGAGAAGCAAGTCCGATATTTTACTGCTGGATGGGTTATCGTGTAAGTTTGTGTGTTATCTCTCCGTGACATGTGTGGAAGGTGTTTGGTTTGGAGCTACAGCGATACTGGGGTTGGGTTAGAGGTGGGGATGGGCTGTTATAAGATGTGGGGGGGGGGGGGGGGGTAGGCGGAAGGTCGGGTATAGGATAGCTGATATGTATGCATGTATGTGGAAGTGAAGTTTTTTATGCGAGAGGGGCGTCACCCGGTGCATCAACTGAGGGTGTCACCCCCCCCCCCTCCAGTAATTTTGTACTTTCGGGTTGGTGTTACTTCCATTACCCCCCCCCCCAACTATTTGGTTATAATAATTGGATAAAATATAGTTATGGCAGTAAATGTTCCGATCCACCCCCCCCCCCCCCCCCCCCCCCACAAAAAAAAATATGTCACACGATGCGGACCGCACCCCCTTGTGACGCCACTGTGTTTGGATCTATATTTTATTTCCTTCTCTATTCTTACACATCTTTAGTTTATTGGCGTCAATCAGCAATGTATCATGTGATATTATTTACGTCATACAGCGGGGGGGGGGGGGGTGCGGCAGCCTCGGGTGTCACATGACCTAGTGACGCCACACCCAAAGCTCGACTTCCGCCATATTGTTTGTTTATTTTTTCTTGTACCCCCAGGCAGCAGTACCAGCACTGGCTCGATGGACCTGTCCGCCCCACTGTCCTTCCCGCCCCAGGAGCACCAGGCGCCCGTGGGGATCCTCCTTCAGCTCAAACCCAAGCCTAACTCAGAGCACTCGACGCTTACCCCGCCCGAACCCCGGAAACCGATGGCGTCACCGGGCCCCGCAGCGAAGAAGAAAGCGGGGCTTAAACCCTGGAACTTTGACCGCTCCCCCTCCCAGGGGAGCAGGTGGGCGGGGCGCAGCAGGCCACCAGCACCCAAGCAGCCGACCCCGCCCTCCTTCCGGAAACGCGTGGCGCCCTCGCCGAAACCCCACGAGACGACGCAGAAGTCGGAGTCGGTGGGCGCGCACCGGGACAGCCGGGGGTCGTCCATCACCTCCCCTAACAACGCCCTCAGCTCTAACTCCATGCAAGAGGTCAGCTCTCTCAGAACCCAGTCCATAAGCACGATATCTGAGTCTAGATTTGAAACATGCGGCCAGAGCAAGGGAGTGACCCGCGGGAAAACCCGCCCGCGGGTCCAAACCCAGGTCACCTCCCCTGAACGCTGGAACTCTCGTTCGGAGAGGCAGCACAGCGTGTTTTCAAATTCAAAATCAATATCGAGCTTCAACCTCAGCCACGCCTCCCCGCAGGTCATCGACTACCAGAGCTGGTTGCTAGGCAACATACCTGTCCAGGGGCGGCCCAAATCGTGCACGTACGGGATACGAGATCTCCGGCAGAACACGTTCGGCGCCAGCTACGGGTTGATCAGGACTCGGGGACACTCGGGAGGTTCCGGTTTCGCCTTCGGCAGCAGCGACGGCGACAGCGCGCCCATAGCGGCCGTCAGGCGGAGGAGCGAAAAATGGCGGCGTGATGCGGACTCGCTGAATGTGATCAGGGGGGCCTTTTTAGGAGCCGCAGAGTTCTTGCACAGGCGGAAGCGGAACAGGAGCCGAGACCGGGATAAAAAGCTCGGGGTTGACAAAGCGGTGAGTACGGCTAGCATGCTCACGGCTGAAAGCCAAAACGATGACGCTACAAACGCTATCAGCGCCAACGAACTGGACGAGAAAAATTTCGTGGAAAATAATCCATTGAGTACAGCCAAGCCGGACCCGGTCGAGGGTTTGTGTAAAAATGCGGATCCCACACCCACAGAAAAGTCTCTAGTCGTTGATAAACAGCTTAGAAGCATCGACACACAGACGCAGATTGCTGGAGTCAGAGATAGCCCGCCCATACGAGTGGAGGCACCGAAAGATTCCCCTAAAAGATCTAGCTTCAAGACTAAAATCAAAAGGGTTAGAAAAATTCCTCCCAGGAGCAAATCTAAAGAGCCAAAAATTGTAACACGCACAAGCCCGGAGCGCAAAAAGCGGAAAACACGGAAAAAAAATTTCTCTACTATAAAAGCAAATATGAGATCTCCTGTCAACGAGGAGAAACCGCAGAGCTTAAGAAAGATAACCTCGCCGATCATATCCCCGCATGTAAAACTCACTAGAGCGCGAATGACCTCCCCTAGCATTGCTGAGAGTGTCAAAGCGTATAAAAAATCTTCCCCCAAGAAGGGGAAACCCAACAAAACAAACCAAACCGAGGATGTCAGTAAAGCGAAAAAAGACGGTGAAGATGATGTTTCCGGAAAGCAAAATGACGTCACGCCGGAGAAACCCCGCGTTAGCCCCGGTGCGGTTATAAGTGTGACGTATGAAGAGGACACGTCCAGTGCTCCCCCGGATGGGGCGTCGTCAGTCGAGAGTAAACAACCGACGCCCAAGATGCGCCTGTCATCCATAAAAATCACCAACATCATTATCCCCATCCAAGAGTTTGCCTCGGCTATTTCTGAAACTGAATCGGACCAATGCAAACCGGAAGCGGACGACAAAACTTTCGACGTTCACGATGAAAGTTCACAGCTTGACCTGACCGTGACCCAGCCGACCAGCCACAGCACGGGTCACAAAAAAACTGCACCGGTTGATAATCTGTCCGAAAAGTCGACCACGCGGAGAAAAATATCAAACTCGCGCAAGCGCTCCAAATCCCCCGTGAAATCTCCACGGGGTAAAAGCCCAAATCAAAAAACGCAGTTTTTCAAACACAGACCAAGGAGTAAATCCACAGCACCGGCTGTTCATAAAAAAACGCACCCTCCCGCCACCAAAACAACGGGACGTCACCCATCTCCCAAGCGAAGGGAAAGGTCGGGATCAACAAAAAAATCTGCATTGAAGGATTCAGCCCGGTCGCCATCGCGCGGAAGAAAGCAGAAATTGAACACATCACAGCCGGCTGCCGGCAAAACAAACAGCGCTAAAAATACTAGCAGCAGCCCCAAAACGGCGCGGGAGAATTATTTAAAAATCCGGATACAGCCGGCAAGGTTAATCTTAACGAAGAAGAAAATCCAAGCATGGCAAAAACAAAACAAAATGGCGACCGCTTCTTCGCCGTCCGATTCAAAGACTATGTCTACATCCGGCCAGGCCGACGCCCAGTCATCCAGCAGCCCGGAAGCTGCCAGTGAATGCGTGGTGCGACACGGAAGTCCAAGCTTAAATCAGCCGGGTTACCCTGTGGCCAACGACGCGGAGAAGACGCAAACGGATGTAGACGCTGCCCATGCGGGCGACTCGTGCGTGCGAACTGAGCGCGGGAAAATTCCCGAGGCGCATCAGAGTTGTGTTGACGGCATTGAATACATAGAGGTGTTGGAAACGGATCTCGACCTCGCCACTGAGGAGTACAGGAGCCGCAGAAATCCTTCCCGGTGTGGGAACAGCCGTGAGCGGAAACTGAGCCCGGTAACTCTTACTCGCACGTCGAGAAATCACTCCCCCACCGGCCACTTGTCCAGAAAGACGCCGATGTTTGCCAGGTACTCCCGGATGGGGGTTGGGGTAGGCGGGCACAGTCCCGGGTCCAGCACAGACCCGCCCCAGAAGAAATACGTCACGTTCAGAAAGAATTGGAAAGAAAAACCAACCGAGCCCGGGGCGAGCCCCACCCCCGTGCCTCCCCGCCCCGCGGCCAGCAGTAGCTACGGGATCCAGTCGTCCTTACAGAAATACGCCAAACAAAACCGTGTCAGGCCCAAAGAGGTCCGAAAAGCGCCCGTCTACCACCCACCATGGGGGAGACCTCGAATCAACGGGGTCAAACACGTGACTCGTCGTCCCGACTCCAGCAACGTTGGATCCCCCTCGTATTCGATCCCGCCCAGAAACCTTGCCTGGGATTCCATCTTCGATAGGCTGGACTCTGTAGACGAAGGGAAGGAAGATAACGGCGCCTCCAGAATCAAGTACGGCCTGCTCTTTGTCGTTATATTCATACAATGTCTTATTCAGTATTTTATCACTAACGACTGAAAGCCGGATTAGTTTATTTTTTATCTAAAAGAAAGCTCAATGTTTTAAATTGTCAATGCCCACTGGGCTTGATTATATTGTCAGCTAGGGGTGGGGTTTGAATAGGATATACCTATATGTCAAACTGTTTTTATTTTATAAAATGTATATGGGTACATACACAATTCATCATTTTTAATAAACACATTTTACACAATGGAGTTTTGAGCTCTCTCTCTGGATTGGTCATCTTTTAGCTAAGTGCAGATAGTGGTAGATCGTTTATAAGAAAATGGTTTTTTAACATGTGCATATAATTTCAATTTCTTTACAGAACATCTTAATAAATACCCTATAAAGACGAATACAGTACTTGTATGCTAAGCAGCATATTCATTTTTTACAGTATCTCATGATCTTAAGATCATTTAAACTTATACAGTTGTCTTTAGTTTAATTTTAAAGGAGGCCACCTCATCAGTTTTAAAAGGTGATAAGTATAACCTAACTTTGTATATGAAGAATAATCCTTAAGAAACTATTAACCCTTACCAAATTTTAGGTACTGGTATGGCTAACCCCACCTTGTCTTACAATAACAACAATACTGGCTAAGTACCCAACTACAACACTAGCAAGTTGCTTACAAATATTTGCCAAGAGCATCTAAAAAACTTTCCATCCGGGGTTCGTAACCTGGGTTCTATCAAACCTCAGGTGTTTGTTGAGTTAAGACTCAGTGGCTTAGCCAAGGTCAAAACAATCGCACTAGATTCATGATCAGATTTTGTCAATGCTGACTTTAGAACTATTAAGAAGGGTTCAGTGAATGCTCATATGTAACTGGTGGGGGTTCGGTTCCTCTACTAAAGTTAAGAACCACTGCTCTACATTATGGATAGATTAGATCTTAAAAACAAATAAGACAATAAAAAAAACATAGCTCATGGTGATATTTATTATGAGGGTGGTATGACAATGGAGATTCTAAATCACAAGAAAACAGCCTATGTTTCTAATACTCTAACACTTAAATCCAAGGCTTAATTATACACACCTCAGTGATTTAAAGTGCTAATGACAGCTCCATTTTTAGTATTAAAAAAACATAATATAACTGCCATTCTCCTTAACAGGCAACAGAAAAAAAAATCAGAATTCACCAATGGCACACTGAAAGAGGTGCCATGCCACAATCCAAACATCTAACAGCTCAATATTATAATTACCATCAGTAATTACCAAACAGCTGATGAAGAAACTTTTGAAATTACTATTAATTTAAAATATATTGATCTTTTTGGTACATATAATAACAGAACTATTTGAACATGGATATTTTCATATTGATATTTAACACCAACAACTCCTAATTAAAAATCTTAAGTACAGAGGTGAAATTTATATTCATATTCAATCCAAAAATGTTCGCAGTCTAGAAGAACTCAACGATTTCTACAGAATTCATGCTCAAACTGGCTTAATAACTGTGAGTGACATACTATGTAGAGAATAATTTCTAAGGCTCACTACAAAATTTTGTTTCATCAAGATGTTTTTATACAACCAGTTTGGTTAGTCAAATATTAAACTTAGTTGACTAATTTAATAGCAGAGTGGTTAGAAATTATTTACAAATTGTCTTCACCTTATTATAGAACTTTAACAACAAACAATACATTATACATGTTTTCAGTTACATTAGAAATGGTATGTTAATATTTTTTTTACAATTAAGACTTATTCTAAAAATGAATCAGAAACAGAACCTCAATATGAAAACTGAATCAAGCAATAATATGAAACAAACTTTTGACTGATACAGCAAACTTTCAATTACCTTGAAAAGAGAAGAAACTAGCAGTAAAAAAAAAAATTAACATATCAGATCCATTCACACAAGTTAAAAAATTCTTTAAAAATTTCACCCTTTTGCCAGTAATGTAATAGCAATTAAGTTCATGTGTTCATCCATAAACAATAAAAGCAGCCACTCTACCTTGCAAACAATAAATAAAAATACATTCAGAAAATGTGTTGACTGTAAGTATTGGATCAAAACCCTTCATACAGTAATGCTTGTCTATTCTAACATCCACAAGCCTAGCCAAAGCTAAACTCTTCATCAGGAGAGTAAGTATCCTATCATGGTAAGAAGCTATGTTCCTAAGAATGTAGCATTTAAAATGTAGACCCTAAAGTATTTTTTAGTCCTGATGAATGAGTGCTACAAAATTAGCTTTGTAGACTGTTTAAAATAATACACTGGTATGAAATATGAAACAAATCAGATATAAAACAAACCATCAGAATAAAATAATTGAAATCAGTGATCAAAATCTTTCACACTCACTCATACACACACACAACCACACTCAGTTAGTTGCCTCTGACATGTAGGCGTCCAGCTCTGAGTCCAGGTGAGATTTGGTCTTGGCCATATACTCGTCCAACTGACTGTCCAGGTCTTGCACTGATACACTGGGGTTAGCTCCCCTTCCTCGCCCACCTCGTCCTCCACGACCTTGACCTCTCCCTCCACGCCTATTGCCACGACCTCTAGCTCCTCTCATGCCAGCGCCAGCCCCTCCGCGTCTGTTCTGGGTATTCTGGCCAGTGAATCTGGGGAGGTATCAAGACATGAACAGACTTGTCAAAACTTTTTTTGTATCAAAACATTAAGAGACTTGTCAAAACTTTTTTGGATTACAACTCTTGGATCATGACATGTAATACAACAAGTATATTTAAAAGACATGAAGAGACTTGTCAAAACTTTTTTGGATTATTACTCCTTTATCAAATTATGTAATAAAACAAGTATATTCAAAAAACACGAAGAGGCTTGTCTTCAGTTTTTAAATTTATAAATTATAACTCTTGGAGTATATCATGTAATACAAGTATATTTGGAACCTTAAAATATTAACTAGTTACACAAGGAGCAATATCTATTGTAGTAATTGTAGATTATGAAGAAGGCCATTGAAAAAAGGATTTTTAAAAGGCTGACAACCATTCTGGTTCATGTCACCACTCCAATGATATCAAAGGTCTGGGAGTTTTAAAATAAAAAGACAAACATATTTTGTTGAAGTTTTTAAATGACTGATAGAATATTAATAAAAAAAAAAGATTAATTAAAAAGTTATAAACTTAAGCATGGGCAGAGTTTATGCAAGGGTCATCGCTGAAACTTACAAACCCTATGTTGGTACACTAGCAGACTTTATACTTTATCAATTAAATGATCTAATGAAATTGTATTCTTTTGTATATAAGCACCAATTAGATGTTTAATTCTTCCAGGGTGGATCAAGAAACCTATCCTTTACCAGTATAGCAGAAGCCCATGAACTTAAGCCTACAACATATATTAGTAGGAAATAGCAAAAAATATTAGTGGTAATTTCAATTCAAAGGTTAGTTTAAAATAGTGATGAACATAAAATGGACTGCTCCAACTCTTAATGGCAATCAGAGAAAAAAATTATGACATGCTTTCATTTTCAAAAACATGAAGCAGTATCAAAACCTCTTCAAATACCAAACTTTCAGGGCAAAAAAAAAAACCAAAACAAAAAAAACAATACACAACTGCATGACTGCCTAGCATCCCAAGTTGCTAAAAAACAAAGTTTTTATCTGAGTGTAGACACACCATGCAATGAGGGTAGCAAGCCTTTAGATTCATGCTCGCTGACCTGTCTGGCCCACCACGACCTCGGCCGCCTCGCCGCCTGTTGTCTCCAGGGCGACCGTTTTCTTCAAATCTGGCAAAATCATACACACCTTGTCTAAGACAGGTGTGGAGGTTTTAATTAGGAAACTTACAGCCCAAATGAAATTGTGTTTAACACTGAAATGAAGCTGTTCCAGCTCACCTCAAACAAGATTTAAACTCAAATAATTTCCTTAAAGACAAGCCTAGAAAGGGAAAACAATTGACGAAGCTCAAACAGATTTAACTGCAACCAACATTTTTCACTCATCAGAAACCCTACAACTAATGGAAGGCAAAAGCTGAACTACATTTAGCTCCCACTGCAACTAGCTATTTTTGCAGCACAATAGAAAGGTTTAAACACATTCCATGAAATTACATAATGCTGATGATTTGCAAAGCTAAAAAAAAAATACAATATTATGCTATCCATACATCTGGTTGGCCAAAAACTGTTTACTATTTTCACATAATTTAAGAAAAAAATCATGAACACTTAATACATGAACAAATATATAACTTATTAGTGTTGACATTGCAAATTATTACAAAACCTTTAGAATAAAACAGAGAAGAATACAGAAAAGTAAACTTCTTGTGATATAAAAAAAAAACAGCTGTATATAGGAAATGTATTAATGGTTAACTTGAACCAGGTGTCAGCTGTATTTGTACAAAAGACAAGCTGTATCATACCTGTTGAATGTTCCTCTGCCTCTTCCACGGAAGGTGCCTCTGCCTCTTGGGGTTCCTCCTAAAAAATTAAAAACCATTCTACAATGCCATTTCAATGATCAGCTTAACTCACCCCTATAAAACATAACACTATTATATAACATTCTACTACATAACTAACCACCCACCATTAAATTATTTTAACACCATCAATAATAGTACTGTTTGCTTGTTATTATAGTGCTATCATATATGAACTGTTCAAGTATTTTTTGTTAGTATTGAAGAGAAATATTCTTGCTGGTCTAACTAATAACACTCTGATCCTAACATCATCATCTTTTCCTGTGTTTGTGCCCAAGACACATGGGGCAAATGAAGTAGTTCAACTGTTTCAATGACTTTGGCATACATTGTCATACAATACCAGGGTTAGCATTATGCCCAGTTGCCTTTACTTCTCTAATGAGAGTCAGGTACCCACCAGAACTGGGTGGACTCAGGGATGTCCTACCAACTGCAGAAGGAATCGGAACTCTATAGACTTTCAAGTTAGCATTCTTAAGAATTCTAACATGATAGGCCTACACAAAATAAGCCTAGATTGTATTGCTTTTTAACTATTCCTAATATGGTCTTACTACATACTGTTTACATTTTCAGCAACTCACTTGGAGAGAAATTTCCACGTCCCCTAGTTTTGTTTGTAAAATATAGGTTGTCTCCAGTTGGAGCTTGTACTACAGCAGCATTCCCTCTGCCACGACCCCTACCTCTGCCTCTCTGTGGAGTGGCTGGTAAGGACAGTCTGTTTTTTACATTTGTCTTGCCTAATCTCTGCTGCAGGCTTTTCTGTCAAAACATGGACAAAAATCTGTTGTAGTCAGTTTAAAAAATAATATCCTTTGTTTCAAACAAATGATTAAAAATAAGTATTTGTGTTAAAATATTAACTGGGTAAGTTTAAGTTATAAGAATGAATTAGTGTTAAATATTATGGGATCATACATTTGGCATGTTCAACTCGAGTGAGCATTGTAGAAGCCTTTGAGTGGATTTGGGTCTTTGTAAATGTCCACACATTAAATTTTAATATCATTATCGTTATATTTATCCTGCGTACTCTAGAAGTAAGTTGATAAAAAAAAATTAAAGTAAAAGATATGTTTGTTGTTGTTGTCCTGAGCAGGTGGATGTAGTAGACAAACAATTGACATGGGGGGGGGGGGGGGGGTAAAATGCAATTTTTGAACTTGTCATAAATGGTTGATCCCAAAAGCTAAAAGGTACTAAATATTATTAGACTGTAAACTCTATTTGGAAAACACACAAAGTTTACTTACCCTCCTCATCTGGTTATTCATATTTCCTTGACCTCTTCCTCTGGACTGTTGATAAAACATTTCCGTGGGCACGGCTTGAAGCCCAGGCCTGTTGGCCAGCTGCTGAGCCAAACGCCTGTTGGCTGCAGACACCTGGTGCTCTACTGCCATGTTAGCTCTGATGTTCTGGATGTTGGGGGCAATGCTGGAGAACCTTTAGTAAGGGGAGATACCTTGTGTGAGAGGAGACAACCACCAGACCTCAACAACACTGTGGTCAAGAGGTCTACTGGATCCATTGCGGATATTTTACGATGGTTGCCAAACTCTCTCCCCATTTGTGCCATACTCGCTTTCCAGGTTGTGGAAAAAGTGGATGGGATTTCAATCACCATTTGGATTTTCATTTTCCCATATTTTAATACTTTAATTTTATTATATCCAGAATTTCACTACTTCCTTCAACTCTTTTAAAAATACCTTTTTATGGAACTTAGTGATACCATTGATCCAAATTTTATTTACACAACCTTTAGGCACATCCAAGTTCAATTTTTACTGCACTTATTAACACTTGGTATTGCCTTAGTGTATTCTCAGGAAAATTTAGCCATGCAATATTTTATTTCAATTTTTTTGCTATATACCATATGCCTAACATTTAATCTTTGTTTTTTAGTACCTAAAAATAATTTAATATTTATGTTTACGCATTTCTTTTTAAAATTTACTCAAATATTTTTGTTATGGTTTTTTTAGAATTATTTCTTTTAAAAGACTGAGTCATAAATGGCATTGATAGAAAAATGTGACTCCAAGCAGAGCAGTTTCAGACATGACACTCAAGCTTCTTGACTAAGAAAGTTGAATCTCTCCCCCATAATGCATCTCAAGCTTCTTTACTTTGCTGCAAATGACTAATGTAACTTCAGATGATATTGGCACTGATCTTTGAACACCATTTGTTGAACACTGTTATTATGTCATTGTTCTATCCAATCACTATTCCTATACAAGTTTATCCTCAACTCGGTGAATAATCCATCACAATCACTTGTCTAAATACTGTTTTTATTATGTTGATTAATCCATTACAGAAATAAGTAATCCACAGAGAACACAATACTTTTCATTTTGAGGTGGTTAATGTCATGAAATTTCACAGGTTTTTACAAGAATCCTAAAGGTCAAAATAATAAGATGTCCTTGTGATCAAAAAACATAGTCCAAACATTTGAAACACGCTTGACTATTGTCTTTTATCCATTGATTTCCTTGCTTTTTGTGACTGAAGTTGAGTGTCAATATCTACTCCCTGTTCTCCATATTTGCATAGATTCAACTTCATGATCAAATATCTGGATATGCACTTGTTGTCACATATCCCACCAAACCATCAAGCCATAGACTCATTTTTATTTTGCACTTATTTTTACTTTGTTGATGTTGCCTATTTTATAACAATGTAAGGTGAATACTAAGTGCCATTTTGTTAAAATAAAGGCTAGTTAAAGGAATTATTCTTTACTATGCATGAGGTGACGTCTATTTGAAAAACAAAAAAATAGAACACTGTTCTTGTAGCAAAAATAAATTACTAGATCAGATGTAAAATTAGTATTGCTGAGATGGAGGATAAATTAAAATTTTCCTGAACGAAATCGCTGATTATATAATGTAAAAGTATTTAGACTTCTAATAGGCTAGCGGGATAGTGAAACCATGAATAATAAACATTTTTAAATCCATCTTTTAAAAGTCTAGAGTAGCTAAATAAATTTATTTTTAAAACTGTTGTATCTTTTTTATCTGCATTGTTTAGTTTAGAAATTAGTACGCAAGCAATGGAGAGTGAAAAACTTTTCTTGCTAAACTAAGACATGCAAAAAGAGTTGCCAATGTGATCAATACTTGGTATTGAAATTCCCTATTGTTATTACCGATGCTGGTTGTTTAAATTTGAAATGGCTAATTGCCTAAAAATTAGTCAAACTTTTGTATAATGGAATACTCCTTACAAACCCAGTTATCACCTACATAAAGTGTGGTTAGCTTTTTGTTTGTTGCTATATGTTAAAAGGTAAACTTTAAGAAAATAAATCACTAATTTTAAAATAAAAAAAACAATCTTTTCAAAATAAAGAGAAATAAAAAGAAATTCCTCATTAAAAGCAGGTCCAAGCATTTTTTTCACAATGAACTTTGCTAACGCTTGTTATCATTTCTTTTTTCACTCTCAACAGAGATGACCCTGATGCACTCTAGCATCTTATCAACAAATCCTGACATGAACAGGAGTTACGCATCCTATCCACTTGGCAGCTTTCTCACAATTAGAGTGCAGAGTTTTTTCCTAGTTTTCATTGTGGTTTGTCTCACCTATCATTTAATGACATTCGTGTTGTGCTTTTAAGCACTATCTTTGTTGGAACTGTCGTCATGTTGTTTTATCTGGTGAAAAAAAAAGGGCAGTAATTGTCAACAAACTATTTAATAGCTCGAAAGCATTTTATATAAGTTAAAAATATATTTTCTACACTTAAGTTCAAACTTACAAAATGTGATAGTTGGTACTTGATTTATTACTCATACTAAATTATTCAAGGTAAACCACCAATTTCATATAGGCATATATTTGTGTCACAATCTGTCGCAATTAATAATGTACTCCTGGCCATGATGAAGATGACACAATATACAACATGATCACATATTTTGCTTAATCTCATTTTTACTGTATTCATATAATAAAAAAATGGATGACCATCCTTTCTCTTCTGTGACTAGGCTAAATAATGACTATATAATACACAAAGGCAAATATGTTTATGACAATGCTCCCATTTTTACTTTCTCGTATATACGTAGTATAGAGAAAGTATTGTAATCGTGCAAAAAAAAAAAAATCGAGATTTTTACAAATCTCGACGTTTTACACCTCACTGATACGGAAAAACATAATTTTGCAATCTTGTCCGTATGTCTGTGTGTAAACACGATAACTTCAGTACCGTTACAGCTAGGCTGGTGAAATTTCATATATAAGTATTTTATCAAAATCGTAGATCCGTATCAACTTTTGAGCGAATTCCGATAACCGGAAGTGGTACTTTTTCTACTTTGAATTTTTCAAAAGCCTATAACTTGAGTACTATTTCAGATAGATAAATGAAATTTGATATGTAAGTAAAAGAGCTAATTCTCTACTTTCTGTCAAATTTTGAGTAATTTCCGTTGACCGGAAATATTTACGCTATTTCCGATTTCTCAAAAAACGCATGTAAATTTATAAAGTACTAATAATATTGCGCACTATTATGCGCTTTTTTATTTAGCGTTCACTTGGTGTGCATTTCTTTTTTCTACGAGATTATATTCTATTTTAAGAAATGTGAGTATTTAAAAGGGATTAAAATCATGTCTAGAAGTCTATATCCCGAGTTGCCATCCCCTGTAGTGTTATATTAGAATATTCGAGAAAGTTTAGGGGAGATCACTCCCGGTTTATTATATTCTGTTGGCATAAAAGTTTGTTATTCAAAATGGCTTTTATTTTTATACAATTTTTTCCTCAAACTCTGTCTGCAGGCTCTAAGCGACCTTAAAGCCTGCAGACTGAGTTTGAGGAAAAAATGTTTAAGTACAGATCTAGTTTCCTCTAGATTCTAGAATTAGATCTAGATTCTAGGTAGTTCTAATTAGGGCCTAACTAATATCAATCATTAGCCTATATTATTTAGGCCGCACTTACACGGATTGCTCTGCGCTCTGCTAAAACATTTCCAGATAATAAATATCTGACCCTATATTGTGAGATTACACTTGCGCTTAAGTTACATCATACATATTATATACATTGCTGAAGAGAATTTCAAAGCTTTTGTTTTAATTTCTGTGTCAAATAATTAGTAAACTAGATGCTGCGAATAGGCTAATAGTGTTGCATTTAGGTCAGATAAGTTTGTGACTAGCTTATTTACTCTGAGTAGATACTAAAAAATTAAGTTATATGAACAAAGTGGCCAATCTGCCTAGTATTTCATACAGTCATTTCACTTTTGTCAGAATGGGATAGTAGTGCCACTGCTCTCTCTAAATAATATAGGCTAATGATTGATATTAGGCCCTAATTATAACTAGCCAGAATCTAGATCTAATTTTAGAATCTAGAGGAAACTAGATCTGGACTTAGAAATTGATTGACCTCGTTTATCAAAGACAGACTAGCTGTAGCTAGTCTAGAAATAATATAGAACTATAGATCTAGATAGATCATCATGATCTAATGATCTGTCTGCTACACTGGTATATCTATAATCTAGTTTAGGTCAGTTTAGGAGGTTGTTTTTTTAATAGAAATAGTGGCCTTGATCTAATCTAGATTCTATCTAGATTTAGATCTAGATCTAGTTAAATAAAAGTAAAAACAAGTTAATTAAAAAGTCTAGTGACATTTAAGCGCAATTTCCTTATGTTATCTAAAAATAGCTTGTCGTAGCGTAAATCAAGAGCAGGGTTAGTAAAACCATTGGTTAGTTATTAAAACGTTTTTTATTAATTTTTTTTTCAGTATTTTACATGTTTTATTTACAATAGAGTTACATGACTAAAAACCATTGCGCGCCTAGCTACCGAATGTGATGTCGCAGCTATTGAACGTGATGACGCGTGTGGTGTGGTTGGATAAAAATGCCTACTAATTCTGTCCAAATTTTAATTAATTCAAAAAAATTTTTGTGACCGAACGAAAGGATATTTTTGAAAACTTTCTTCTGCAATATTGTTCTAAATTATGGCAGGAATTGATTGGTACATGTTTCAAGTCGCTAAGTGGTCTGGTTGCCGAGATATGGGCCGAAAACTGCATTTTTTCGAGGTTTTTTGGCTTTTCCAGGAAATCCATGAAAGAAACCCAGAATTTTTATGGCCTATGTTCATCCTCGTAACTTGCTTAACATAATTGCTTTTGGAACTAGTCCTCGATATTGCTTTGTTGAGGAGGAGATACGACTTAAAGCTGCGGACACACATACATTCATCCATCCATTCATCCATCCAGAAATGACGGGTTAATAAACGCAATTCTCCAGAATGGAAATTGCGCTAAAAAAATAAAGTAGAGTAACAGTAGAAAGAAAACTGAGTCAAAAATTTCAAATAAAGGGTCTGCTTGATCGAGTCAGTAAAGCTCATGGTTGCTAAACTGAAAAGTCTCGAGGTTGAGCCCTCAGGCAGATGAGGCTTGTTAGCTGGGTATTGCCACTCTTCTAGGAGAGACAACTCCAAAAATAAACTGCTGCCTTGTAGATCTAGATCTAGTCTAGATCCTCTAGATCTAGATTATTATTGGCTGGACAAACATCACAAAGGCTATGGCAGTATCATATGGGCAAGCAAATCCAAAAAGAAAAGCAGGCTTAGGCTTAAGTCGTAGTATTTCTCTCTAACTTGGATGCGTGGTCGGTTGCTAACAACAATATGGCGCCCGGACCGGACGTCTGATTTCCGGTGATTTTTCGGCCAAATTCCAGAGACCTTCAACTAATTACATTTAAAAATGTTTACCACGCGCAAAATGGCGGGATTTCCGTGTCATAACAACAAACCATAAGTGGCAGGGTTAGATATGCCAGAAAAGCATTTTAAAATTTGGTTTGGAGAACGGAGGCTAAATTCAAAAGTTGGTTTCATTAAAATTAATAGAATTTAAAAAATATCAACAGTGTAGGTACAGAAATGAGCGAGAACGTAAAGCATTATTAGTTTTATCAGTCTATGAAAAAAGAAATTTATAAGACCGGCGTCCGTATCACAACCAATTTATTTTTATTTTTTAAAAACCACGTGACCGCTATTTGGTGATCACTAGTGAGGAACTCTTGTGCATGGAGTCTAACCTGATTTGTGGTTTTCTTTAGCTTCAAGCTTAAGAACAGTTGTCATGGAGAGATGTGTTGGACATGGTAGTGATTGACAATAAATATTAAATTAACTAATTTAGTTCAAAACGAACTAAAAACTCCAAAGTTAGTGCCTAATGGATTAAATATGGATGTCTATTATTCAGTGGTCATGTTTAAATTGATAATTGCGTAAATTCTAGATTTAGTGAGAAAAACTATTAAGTCGGGAGTCAATTGCCTCAAATATTAAAAATAACCAGTTGACATGTTGACATCCTCTAGACTTAATTGAGTTGGAGGTGTCCTTCCAACACTAAAAGTAAGAACGAAGAATAAATTAAGAACGAAGAAGAGTAGGCCTAACATTTTAGTATTTTACATTGTAACATTAAAACCACTCTCACTTTGTGACTCAAACCAGGCAGTCTGGTTTGAGTCAAACCAGGTTTTTACGATAAATTTATAAAATCTAGATCTAGTGATTCTCTAGATCTAGATCAAACAATTTGTTTATACAGATCTAGGGATTATTCAACTACAACGATTGTAGTAAGTTAGGTTAGTATATTACCTCAATTCTTGCAGTGCGAGGCAAATTTTGTTACACTAGTAAATTAATACTTCACTAGGAGAAACGCTACGTCTATGATGCAAACGTCCGGCTGGCTCGCAGAAGAGGTAGTGACGTCAGCGAAGTCGCGTGATAAATATTTCGCACATTTCAATCATAATACATTTATCAATTTCTCAAACTTTTAATGTTTTGATTACGTCTCTACTTTGATAGCACAGTATTTTTATTAACCCATTTTGGATTTAGCTGGATGGATAAATTATTTTAGAACAACCCGCTAAAGTAAAGTAAATGAGTAGTGCGGTAGTGATGTGTTCTGCTCTAAATACTTCACACATCGTGAAGACCCCCCCCCCCCACATTCACACACAAACACACGATAATGACGTCAAATTTTAAGCACCTGTTGATCCCTTGTGGAGCATGGAGACGCACCGATACTTCTACATCACACTCGGTGGAGATTCCTTCAAGTTGGGTCCATGCGACATATGTATGCTACTTCTGCTTCACTGAAATTTTTAGCATACCCTTCCACCAAAATTCCAATTATGTGTATCTATATGGGGGGGGGGCGGGGGGGGGGGGGGCAGTTGGATTTTGTATCTAAATGTCTTGTTTTGTGTTAAAGGCTTATAAAGTGCACACTTTCTTGATCTTTGATCAGAGGCCCGGGGCGAACTATCCGTTTTACGCCCCCTCCTTATAGTTATTCAAGGTGAAAAAGCGCCCCCCCCCCCCTCTATCCCAGGTGAAAAGGTTGGTGGCGCATTTTACCAGTCCCTTCCCACTAACAGTTTTAATTGTAGTGTCTCAAATTTGATATAGGCAGATACATAGGTATGTTAATTTAAGCCAATTCCAAAATTGAATCTGCTTAAATAATTCAGTGAAGCAGCACAGAATAAGCTTTTTATTTTTTTTCTACCGAGTTTGGAACCCCTTAGGATCGGCGCCTGGTGCAGCCGCCCTACCCGCCCTCTCCTAGAAACGCCTGTCTTTGATAAATGAGGTCAATCAATTTCAAATTACCGCCCACATTGGCCATTACATTCCGCCTCTAAATATATGCAACGTCCCTTCATTCTCTCCTTCCACATAAACTGTATAGCAAATATATAGGCCTAGTTTTACCAGTTTCAGTCGTCGTTGCCCCCCCCCCCCCCCAACTCCCTTCATTCAAAAGCTTTAAGTGCCCCCCTCTTTTAAGCACTTGAATGACGACTTTTTTTGGGTGGGTAGGGGTTGGGGAAAGGTCGAGGAGGGGGGGGGTGAGGTATCGTCCTTAACGAGCTACTGATAGTGTTTTAAAGCAAATATATTCAGTGGCCGCATTGATACTGTCGAATTCACACATTATGAATTACTGAAAAGTAGAAAATAAAACAACTAAATAGCGGCGTATGATACGCCGCGGGTCGGCTCGTGTGGAGGCCTAACCCTGCCACATTTGTGAATGTAATGATAGGAAGTGTGTCACATGATAAAAACAAAACAAAATGGCGGCAAGTAGAGATGGAAACAGTGTGCTCATTCTGGGAGGTAGACTTTAGAACTCTAGTCTAAAATCTAAATTAATTTAATAATTAAGTCACTCTAAATGCTCCAAGCAAGTACACATTTGATCATTACATCATAGATCTAGATCTAAATATTTTTAAATTGACGACACCGATGTCCGTGACACAAACAAATTCAAACAAAACTAAGAACTAAGAAAACAAACAAATTAATTCAAATTATTTGAAATTATTCAAAGATATAACAAATGGAGACAAGCGAGTTGACGAGATTCCTTCCATAGTGTTGTTGACATGGAATAAAAACGTGCTTTTTAGATTTAGACCGTAAAAAATAAAATAAAAACTTAAGCCTAAAATTAATTTAGAAATTTTATCGGGCTTGAAATAGAACTCAGAGGGGGGAACGGGGGGTTGCGAACCGCACTGGGTGACACCATTTAGGGGGGTGACACCAAGGCAAAAAATAGCAAAATATATAGAGAAAAACTTGAGGAAAGGGTGCAAATTGAAAGTTCGAAGGGGGGGGGGTGTGTGACACCATTAAATGCCGCACCGGGTGACACCTGACCTCGCTACGCCACTGATAGAACTACTGGTAATACTCTATTTTAGCGTATTTTATTACACTACCGAAAAACATAAAAATGGAGTTTTACCTTCTACCACTATTCTAGAATCTAAAACTATTCTTATTTATTATTTAAATTTAAACAATACTTATACAATTCAATAACAATTAGATCTAGAAAAATAGTTACTTAAATCTAGATCTAGATCAAGTAACATTAGGTGTTTTGGTTGTGTTTATAATAAAATACTCTCAAAAGGAGGTTAACGTAAATTGGGGAATAAAATATGAAACTATGAATCTGATGTTCACATTTTTACCACATCCAAAATTTGTTGACAAGTGAACAACTTATTGTGTTGATTTTTCTGAGCAAAATTCCTCAGCCATTGCCAACAAACGTTTTTTCCATGGACAAAAAGATCTCCGCGGGCCGGATAAGAGGACCTCGCGGGCCGCATCCGGCCCGCGGGCCGTAGTTTGGAGATCCCTGGTCTGGAGTCTAGAACTATAATCATACTATAGGCCTATGCCTAGCTATAAAAATAATGTCGATGCTAACTAGTAACCAACTCCAATCCACCCTTAATTGTCAAAGAAAGATTGTGTATGAACTGGACTGTAGTCTCCAGATCTGTGGGTGCCCCATATAGTTTTTCCTTGAGTGGGTTGTATACAGTATAGGGGCTAGTGTCCTATTGTCATCAAATCCACCCCTTTTGGTGCTACGTCTACACCCACTATGCAAATGTTCTCATCATGTAGCTGCACCAGTTGACCACTTTCCACACTTCTCACTTCATGGTGAATTTGGATTTTCAGCATAGTAATGTAAACCATGTTGACAAAGTGCTGGAGCTTGAGATGGCTGTGTGCAAAGATTGAATGGTCTTTTACAGACTTGCGGTAGTAGATTCTTACAGTAGTTGCTACCATCTCACATCCATCTCCAGCCATCATTATCCTGCTGGCACAGGTTTAGTTTACATAATGGGTTGCAAGGAAGTTTTTAATAAACCTGCACTGAGCAAACAAATTGCATTGAAGTGTCAGACATTTGCAAATGCAGAACTTTATTTCGCATGTGTCCCACTAGTATTACTTCATTAGACGGCATAATTGAAACTGTTTTTTGGTCTGCTGGCCATTGTTAAATTTAAAAAAAAACATACTACATGTTTATATTTCAAATAAACAGTACCCAAAATAGAACATGTACTGCTGAATATAAGTTTAAATTATACTGAATATTTAACATAAAGTATGTAGGCCAAATATTTTCATTTTTAAAAGCTATGTGTAAAGATGCAAATGTATTAAAATTTGAAAATTATACTGCGAAATAAACAATGGCTTACAGTCTTCACTTCTAGCATAATACATCATAAGTTCCAGATTAATTAATTCTGCTATATTGGGGTATTTCTGAGAAAACTCTAAATAAGGCCCAAACTGATTCACATTCAATTTAAACAAATTTATAAATTGTGATTGTTTGGTATGCATTATTATAGTAATTAAAACTTATTTTGTTCTCCTACAGGTAGTGGATTTATTGGAAGAAATTTTGTGGATTATTTAGTCAGAAACAACTTGTCCAAGAAGGTAATTTTCCTGTAGTAACAGCTAATTAAAAAGTTTATAGTTTATGGCTGGTAGTTGGATAATCACTCACTATATATTCACTCAATATTTCAGTTTTTTAATAGCTTAGATTAGCTATGTTAGCTTTCAATGCAGAAAGTAAAGAAAAAATAAGTTACTGTTTTAGACCTGATGAAGTAGGATCACATGTTTCTCTGGCCTCATCACATGAAAGGCTAATATGGTTCTAAGCCATGCCTGCTTGTCTTTTCCTAACTTTGATAGGGTACTCATCAGAGCTGGATGGAGTCAAGACTATATATTTAGTTATCATGTCAGTCGATTTGAATACCTGATGCAGGGTTAGTAAATGGTTTAACACATACATGCTTGTTTCAGATACGAGTAGTTGATAAAGTTCCACCTCAGATGGCATGGCTCAACCCACGACATGCTGTAAGATCATTGATTGTTTCATTAAATAATTCCAGTTTTTTAAGAACTTTATTATTTTTTACACGATGTTCATTTAATTCTTCATTAGTGGTATGTTTAGAATGTGTGTGTTGTATCTATCAGGAATTCCGAAATAACTCTTGTTATGAGTTAAAAGTGCATTTTAAAAAATAACTTTTTCCTTTATTATTGTTTTAATCCAAGCCCTTTTTTTTATCTGCAGGAATCATTTGCAAGTCCGGTAGTTGAATTCTGTCACGCTAACCTTATCAATAAAGGTAAGACAATTAATTTTATCAGTGTAAAAATAATAAACAATTTAGTAACGAAAAGAAAATTTTATAAATGCAAAGAAGCTTTCAATTTTAATATCATCATATTATTTCTATGTGTGAGGTATGGCTACAAAATTCAGTATATCATACCAAAACTGTTTTTTTTTTCTTTTTTTTTTTTTGCTGCTATTTCTATTCTGACACTTACACTAATCAAAACATTGAACCAATCAGCAATTACTGCATAAAATAAATGAAATAAAAATGCTCAACTGACAAATTTTAGAAAATTCCATTTTTCTCCAGCATCAGCAGAAAAAGTGTTCTGTTGTGACGATGGCGAGTTTGATTTTGTCATCAATTTTGCTGCAGAAACCAAGCACGGGCAGAGTGAGCCGGTAAGGTCCTTTAAGAATTTTGTGCTAATATCACTTCCTTGAAAATGTCACAATAATTAAAATGGTCCTGAGGTGTGAATATATAGACGAATTTGCAACAAGGTCATAGAGAAACAGATGATCTAGATTAAATCATTTAATCATATCTGTTTTACCTTACTCCAAATTATCATTAGCTAGCTCAATATCAGGTCAGGTAAATAGTTTTTAATGTTGGTAATTTTTTAAAAAATCTGTTTATAAATGAATTTTAGAAAATATACAACAAATAAAAATACACATATTTGTTTAAAATTCTTTAGTGCGATGTTTGGTAACAACTTCACATGAAACAATACCATTTGCATACTTTTTTGGTTGTTAAATATTGTCTAGTACTAATGAGTTTAATTTAAATAAGCTTCAACAATATGTAGGGGATATTCCCACAGCAAATTTTAAAAGCTTTAAGTGTGTAAAGAAGAAATCAGTATTTTTACAAAATTTAAGTTATTTAAATTTTGGTGGTGACGCAAAGCAGGTATTTATAGATAAGCAATGTTTCATGTTATATCCATTGTATAAAGAAGTATTTGAAATTTTGTTGTGTGTACATAGATTGACTGTTCAAAATGTTTGCAGGCATTAAAAAAGCAATTACTGATTAGTTTTTAAATATTTAGATAATCTGTTAAAATGTTATCATATATATAAAGATGGACTGTTTAAAATGTTTGCAGGTGTATAAAGAAGGAATCTACAGACTGAGCCTGAACTGTGCTGAACTGGCAGCCCAGCATAAAGTGAAGAGATACATTGAAGTGTCCACTGCACAGATCTATACACATGACAAGGTGAGAACAGCTGTTTCCTTTTGGCTTCTATTTTTTCTCTTGTTTGCAGTGACTGCTATACCTAGAATCGTTTATTGCTTTGGTGTGCAGAACAAAACTGTTGTTGTCATTGTTTTACTCATGTCCCAGACAAGCACATTATCACAGTACTAATATCAGTCATCACTGGGCTTATATAGACTGTCTTGGCCTTGTAGGGTCAGCTACAGGTCAGCTGCTGGTGTTGTCTCGGGGGTCAGCTTTCTTTGATACAGTCATTCATTCATTGATATTTAATGTTACAAAAATCTTTCAGTGAAGTTCTGTAACATCTTGATGTGATGTATCATAAATATCTTTGATACTGAATACAAGAAAATAACCAATTTTAAATGTGTATTGATAGTTGTTAACTTTGACCTAGAACAATAATGTCACAAAGACTTTCCGTGATGCTGAATGTCACCAAAGAATTTCTGTGATTCCTAATGTCACAAAGACTTTCAGTGATGCTGAATGTCACAAAGACTCTCCGTGATGCCTAATGTCACAAAGACTTTCCTTGATGCCTAATGTCAAAAGACTTTCCTTGATGCCTAATGTCAAAAAGACTTTCCTTGATACCTAATGTCAAAAAGACTTCCTATGAAGCCTAATGTCACAAAGACTTTCAGTGATGCTGAATGTCACAAAGACTCTCCGTGATGCCTAATGTCACAAAGACTTTCCTTGATGCCTAATGTCAAAAGACTTTCCTTGATGCCTAATGTCAAAAAGACTTTCCTTGATACCTAATGTCAAAAAGACTTCCTATGAAGCCTAATGTCACAAAGACTTTCCGTGATACCTAATATCACAAAAACTTTCCATGATGCCTAATGTCACAAAGACTTTCTGTGATGCCTAATGTCACAAAAACTTTCCATGATGCCTAATGTCACAAAGACTTTCTGTGATGCCTAATGTCACAAAAACTTTCCATGATGCCTAATGTCACAAAAACTTTCTGTGATGCCTAATGTCACAAAAACTTTCCATGAAGCCTAATGTCACAAAGACTTTCCGTGATACCTAATATCACAAACAACATGCTGTGATGCCAAATGTCACAAACAACATGCTGTGATGCCAACTGTCACAAACAACATGCTGTGATGCCTAATATCACAAAGAACATGCTGTGATGTGCTATAAATATCTTGATATCGGTCACCAGAAACCAGCCAGGGAAGAATCTAAACTGGAACCGTGGACCAATCTAGCGCGGCACAAGCTGGACGTTGAAAAGGCTCTGGAGAGTTTTGTTGATTTAAATTACGTCATAGTTCGCCCAGCCATTGTGTATGGGTTGGGGGACAGGAATGGACTAAGTAAGTTTTTTTAGGGTAGATAATTTCACATAATTAATTTTAATAATCTTATCTTTTTTTTTCCTGCTCAAGTAAACTAAAAAAAAAAAAAGTCCATAATAATTTAAGTGCATGTATTCATATTATTATTTTCTATGTTATTTCATGCGTGTAGATTTTCATCAAACCATGAGTTATGTACCTTCTTCTCATTGAGCACAGTTACTTTTTCCTTAATTATCAATGATCTTATTATCTTACTTTCCATATTTTTACCCCCAGCTCCTCGACTGATTATTGGTGCTATTTACAAGTACATGATGCAGAAAATGCAGGTACATTTTTTTCTTGTAATTTTTGCTGTCAAAACCAGTGATATAATCCCTACTGTTAAGAAATTTCATTTTAAAGAGATATATTTCAAATATAAAGATAAGCAGAATAAGTTCAGTAGTTAACATTGATATAACAATTTATTAAAAGTTATATCATTCTTGTGTTTTAACAAATGCTGTAACATGCTAAGTAACATTGGTATAATAATTTATTAAAAGTTAAATCATTCTTGTGTTTTCAGATGCTGTTGACCTATTAGAATCAGTTCTCTAAGTAACATTTGTATAACAATTTATTAAAAGCTATATCAATCTTGTGTTTTCAGATGCTGTGGACCAATAGAATCAGTTCTCTAAGTAACATTGGTATAATCATTTATTAAAGTTTGAAATCATTCTTGTGTTTTAACAGATGCTGTGGACCAAAGACCTGAAGATGAACACCGTTCATGTTGACGATGTGGTCAGAGCAGTGTGGCATCTGTGTTTCCATGGCAACAGGGGTCAGGCTTACAACCTAGCTGATAAGGGTGACACTAGTGAGTGGGTTTGTTGCTAAATAGAAACTAGTTTGTTACATTCTTTGGTAATTACAATTTACTAGATTAATTTGCTTGATACATTGATTCTTTAAGCTACAAATATAAACTAGTGTTATATTCTTCTGCTAATTACAATATTCTTCTGCTAATTACATTTTACTAGATTTTAATTAGCTTAGGTACAATGATTCAGCTATGTACTAAGAGTAAAGACCTACTGAATGTTATGCTTTTTATCTGTCAGTTTAAACTTTAGAAACTACATTGAGACAAAAATTACATGTGCTTTTTCTTTGTTGTAGATTATTACATCTACTAAAACAAAGATCTGTCAATCAATTCTTTTTTTTTAGCCTTTCTAGTAGGGGCTCAACTCCATAAAAAACAACGGATGTTGCAATCTGAATGTACACACCTGTTCCTCCCTTAGGCTAACATCATTTTTACATGTCTGATGTTTGTTTTCCAGCTCAGGGAGTCATCAGCAGCCTCATCTCCGAGTTGTTTGACATCAACTATGATTTCCTAGGCTCAGTCTTCTCCAACCTAGCCAGGGTAAGTGGGTTTCCATCCCCCATTGTTAACATTGTAACAGTCCAACTCTAACACTAGTAAAATCATCTCCGAGTTGTTTGACATCAACTATGATTTCCTAGGCTCAGTCTTCTCCAACTTAGCCAGGGTAAGTGGGTTTCCTTCCCCCATTGTTAACATTGGAACAGTACAGCTCTAACACTGTAATAGTAAAATATAGTCGCATAAAACCAGAAGAAAAATATAAGGATTTTTTATTACTTGTTATTTCTTGCACAGGTACACTATAGGATTGGTTTTGAATAAGTTTATTTTTAACAATATTCTGTATAATATGTATTTAACTTAAAAGACTTAGTGTGTACTAGAGTAGATCTTCAGTGTATTGGCACACCTGACAACCAATGTTGCCTCTAAGGGGAAAAAGATTGTGTGCAGCATGCATTTGTGTGTGCGGTGTTCTAAAAGTCTTATATAAGGATACATGTAATTTACAAAATGACTGTGCGGCGATTAGAAACTACTGCGCGGCCGCGCAACAGCGCAGCGTAGAGGGAACATAGCTGACAACTGGTGTTAATCAATTAATTCATGCTTTAAAATGTGTTGCAGTACTTCCAAAACATATCATGAAAAATAAAAGCTTACTAGTCTTATTCCAATATTAAAATAGTGCAAAATATTATGTTAAAACATAAAAAAAAAAATAAACATTCTAATGTTCTGACATTTTACATGAGTACTCTGGTAGCAATTGTTAACAATATTGGTAGATATGTACATTGATTTAACAAAAGTGTGGACATACATTATAATACAGATATATATGTATGTAAATATGTATAAATATAACATCATGTACTCAACAGGTGCGAATGACGGACATTGTAGATGATATCAATGAGAAACACATGCGTCCTTGGTCAGATGCATGCCAGAGGGACCAGGTGGCCAACACTCCACTCAACCCATTTATAGACCAGGTAATTTGACTTAAATCACATTTATAGACCAGGTAATTTGACTCTTAAATCACATTTATAGACCAGGTAATTTGACACATAAATCACATTTATTGACCAAGTAATTTGACTCTTAAATCACATTTATAGATCAGGTAATTTGACTCTTAAATCACATTTATAGACCAGGTAATTTGACACATAAATCACATTTATTGACCATGTAATTTGACTCTTAAATCACATTTATAGACCAGGTAATTCGGCTTAAATCACATTTATAGACCAGGTAATTTGACTTAAATCACATTTATAGACCAGGTAATTTGACTTAAATCACATTTATAGACCAGGTAATTTGACTTAAATCACATTTATAGGCCAGGTAATTTGACTTAAATCACATTTATAGACCAGGTAAATTGACTTAAATCACATTTATAGACCAGGTAATTTGACTCACAATTCACATTTATAGACCAGGTAATTTGACACGTAAGTCTTGTTTATAGTTCAGGTAGTTTGAATTGTAAGTCACATTTGTAGACAAATAAATTGAACTAATAAATTTCATCTTTTTATATCTTCTTTTCACGTTTGTGCCCAAGACACATGGGGCAGATAAAGTAGAGTTCATCTGTTTGTATGTCCTCTTCAAACAAGGGGTTAGTTTAGTCACCACAATGCCCAGCAACCTTAGTTTCCCTAAGGGCACCTGTGAATGAAAAGAAAACACATCTTCAAGTGCCTGCATTTATTTTTATTGCATATTTGGATGGGAATAATTTAAGTCTTAATTTTGGTGTTCTTCATACAGCTGCTATTATTTTATGTCAACAGGAACTCTTGTACAACAAATACCTGTTTGTGGATGGCTCTAAGATTGAGACCACTGGTTTTTCCTACAATGTCCCACGTTTAGAGATGGCTAGTTTAAAGGCGGCAAGTACCTCCAGCTTTGTGTTCTTGTCCTTTTTGTGAAACCTTGTTACTTACTACAACTTTGGTCACTGAATTAGTTAACAATTGTTTAATAAAACTTAATCCTTAGTGAGGTTAAAAATAGTCTAACCAGGTGTCTCAAGTTTTGATCATGGTTCGGACCCTAGGACTGTAGGACGTCCCAGAGTCCACCTAGCTCTGATTTGTACCTGACTCTTGTTGGGAAAAGTAAAGGCAACTGGGCTTAGTGTTGACCACACCATCCCTTCAAATGAAAAAGTCATAGAAACACATGAATTCTACTTCATCTGTCCTATGCATCTTTAGGTTGGAAAGGGGAGCGTTACTTTTTCAAAAAGTAATTGAAACCACTGATAAAAGAATCGCTGGAAGTAGAATTCTTTTTTAAATTCTGAATTTTCTATAATCACTACTTTTTAATGGGGTCGCCGTGGTCGACTCAGTAAATCTCATGGTTGCTAAACCGAAAAGTCTCGAGTTCGAACCCTCGGGGAGATGAGGCTCGTTAGCTGGGGACAGCCACTCTTCTAGGAGAGACTACTCCAAAATTAAACAACTGCTGCCTTGTAGTTTGTTCTTGGTTGGACAAAGGCTATGGAAGCAAATCCAAAAAGAAAAGCAGGCTGAAATCGGAGTCAATGGCTTCAATGGCTCATAACCAGTTGACACGTAACACTTAATTGTATTGGAAGCGTGGTCGAGTTGGCAAAAAGCTCATGGTTGATAAATTCGAACAAAGTCTCGAGTTCAAACCCACTGGCAGATAAATCTCGATCCCCTTCAACACTAATAATTAAGAACAAAGAAGAAGAAAGAAGACTACTTTTTAACCATTAGATGCTAACTACATTCTTTAAACATTAATTATAATGTAAAAAACAGTTTTGTTTTTGCAACAGTCAGCATTAACCTTAAGGTACCTAGTGATGAACCAGACCTTTCTCTCCCACCACTATGCTCATCAGTTGGTTATGTATTCCAATAACAAGGCATTTCAATAAGTCAGAAAGCAAGCAGAATAGTTCACTTGCTTCCAATTTTCTGGGACGTTGATCCCAATCTCTTATTTACTCTGTCTTTAAAAAAAAGTAAAACAATCTTCTGATACAGTGTGCAGTCAAAAGTGAAAAATTTTGCTTATTTAATGTAAAAGAAAGAGTAGCAACCACAAAACTCAATCCATTTTTATTGCTGAATTTGTTTTTGTTGTGATTATTATTTATTTTCTGTTAATTTTTTACTTACTGATATATAATTATTAAATATTATATATTTCTCATTATTTATTCTATTAATATATTTCCATATATTAAAAAAAAATAATTTGGTGTATAATTATTGTAAATCTGTATATTTTTTATATTTCTTTTGAATTATTATCATACTATGTCCAACAATCACATGATGACCATGTCACCTGACCTGACCATGTCACCTGACCTGACCATGTCACCTGACCTGACCATGTCACCTGACCTGACCATGTCACCTGACCTGACCATGTCACCTGACCTGACCATGTCACCTGACCTGACCATGTCACCTGACCTGACCATGTCACCTGACCTGACCATGTCACCTGACCTGACCATGTCACCTGACCTGACCATGTCACCTGACCTGACCATGTCACCTGACCTGACCATGTCACCTGACCTGACCATGTCACCTGACCTGACCATGTCACCTGACCTGACCATGTCACCTGACCTGACCATGTCACCTGACCTGACCATGTCACCTGACCTGACCATGTCATCTGACCTGTCACCTGACCTGACCATGTCACCTGACCTGACCATGTCACCTGACCTTACCATGTCACCTGACCTGACCATGTCACCTGACCTGACCATGTCACCTGACCTGACCATGTCACCTGACCTGACCATGTCACCTGACCTGACCATGTCACCTGACCTCCCCAGGTTTTAGACGATTACATCACCCTGGGCCTGATGCCCAGGAGCCTAGTCAGCAACGAGGTCTTCTACACACCATCAGACAACGACGCTGCCAGCCTGGATGCCGGTGGCGACGGTGACACTGGTGGTGATGGTGACGACGACAGCGTGGGCCACGGCAGTGCCGCCAGTTGACACAACCTGACGTAGCGCCATACGTCAATACTCTAAAACTTCTCCAAGGGGGTGTGGGTAACAGCTGTCTGTGAATTACAAGTCCATTTGTGTCGTATCACTTACCTCTGGTCACGCTGGCTAATGCTGCGAGCTTTCATTCACTGTTAAGTCATATCAGTGAGGCTGGGTGTAGATTGAATTTTTAAACTGCTGGCGTCCATGTTACATTATATTTTTAAACCTTTGTTTCTTTTTTCCTTTGATCCCGAAGCGTTTGATTGCAGATCTGTGTTAACTTTAGCAACTATGTGGTGATATTCTATCCATGTTTGCTCAGTTGTTGAACTTTTATCTACTTACCTACTTAAGATTTTATATATATAGTTTAATCAAGTTTTGACTTTAGAAATATCTTTCCTTTAAAACTTTATTAGATGCTTAGTTAGGTCTAAGATTTTTCTAGAAAATATGTTGGTAGTGAGGAATAAAGTTAATAACTCTTGACTCCTCTTTGTAATAGATACACAATTTTAAAAGTTTAGGAAAAAAAAATTTCTTTTTGGATTTAAAAAAAAAAATTTTTTTGCGCAAGGTAGAAAGTTTTAATAGATATAACATACATATTTATATTTATTATTTGTGTGACGTGAGTTTGTAGCTAGATAAGTAATTGATAATTTATTATTATTACAATTAATAATCAGAATATACTATTCAGTGACTTAATATAATGATGAATATAGACTCTTTTACTTGAATGTCACCAAAGTCAAAAGCATTGCATTCTTTTCTCATGCTTGGCTTTGCCTGTGTCAAATTTATCTGGCAAACCTGGATGCTGTCTTCCTACTTCTCAATGTTGGCTGTTGTGTATTCTTTCCATCAATGGCATGTCAAAATATTTTCCAATTGCATTCTTTCACTTAATGTACAAAATCTGTTTCCAAAGAATGTGTCCAACACCTTATCAATGAGTTATCATACTAGCTTAAATTAAAAAGCATTGAAATAAACTACCAAAGTGTGATCTATAAATGTGTTTGAGAAATATCAGTTCAATGATTAATGCTTGCTCCCACCTTCTCTTATCATTGATTTCATAGAACTTTCATAGTTCACTCTGCTGATCCATGTTCTTTGATCACGCTAGACTAATCAAACATAAACCAGTCGGAGCCTAGCTCTCGTATTTTATTTGTTGCCGTCAGTTGTTTTTTTTTTTTTTTCCTATTTTCTTTCCACTGGCGGAATCTATTTTTTTTAACGTTAACATAAAAATTGAATTTACTCTTGTTTCCTACCTTAGTTTTTTATATACATTTGTTACTATATGGATTTTACAGGGTTAAAGCCACGCCAAATATTTTTCTTGGGCCAAAATTTTTTTTAAATTCTTAAACCTTTTGGCAGTGCCAAAAATTTTAGTTGTCAAAAGAATGCACAAACTGCCTCAAACTTTTGGCAGTAAAAATATGTCCATTTTTTTTTCATGTTTTTTTACGAGCGTAGTATCTTGCAAGTCTTATTAATCATTCCTAAATTGTTAGCATTTTTTAAAAATGTGTTGTAGCTTGTAGTGGCAACTTTTTGTTTGTGTTCTGACCTGTATAGAGATAATGTATAATTTACAAGTTAAATGAGGTCAGACTATTATATAGTCTGGTTTGTCTAATTGTGTTTGACCATTGGTCATTTTTTCAGACACATCTCTACTATGTATATTGTGTATATGTGATGTTCTAGTAGGAAAAGCGAGTAGATGATTGTTTTTTTTTTTTATTTTAAAGCAAGTTAATGTATGTGGCAATTTAAAATTTTTTATCAAATAAAATTAAATTGTTTTTAAAAGCCTGTAAAAAAAAGGACAGTAATATATTTGGTTTTTTGGTCACCTATTGAAGCTATTCTTTTTATGCAGCTTTTTATCAGTCTAGTATAAACAGCAATTTGCCATATTTTGGTACATTTTATTTATCCCAGTACGTTTTTGACCATCGAAACAATCACTTTATTCTGTAAAAAATAAATTTCAAATAAAAAAACTAAAATTTAAGTTAGGTAAAGCCATTGTTGAAATAGAAACTTCTCTTGTGGTGTGTGGAAAATAAAAACATCTGTAGAATAGCGTAAAATACAAAAGTTAAAAGAGATAGTGCTGGTGTTTTTTCTATCTAACTGGAATATGTTGTTACTAATAGATAAAAACATGATTGGTTTTTAAACAATGTTACCCTGTGATACTCATTGCGTTTCACTTATTTTACATGTTTAGTTGTGTTACAGGCTTTGTTACGCTGCTGCATATTGTGTTACACATAGTTACAGTTTATTACAAAATTTTAATACATTATTGCAACTTTTGTTACACATTTGTTAGTTCATGAGTACTTACAAATTGTGAAAAAATTGTTACATATTATGTTCTTTCTGTTGACAGCTTGGGGTACAAATTTTATCAGAATATGTTACAAATTTTGTTACATTGTGTTAGGTTTTGTTACAAATTTTGTTACATTGTGGTAGGTTTTGTTACAAATTTTGTTACATTGTGTTAGGTTTTGTTACAAATATCGACACATCGTGTGCACACTGTTACGCTGGACTACTCCAAACTCTTACAGATTCCTTACATTTGTGATGAATTTTTCTTTCACTTTTTTCTTACCAAAGTAACTGTAAAGTAATTGTTTAGTTGGGTTTTTTTTTAATTCTACTTTTAAACTTTTTTTCCGATCATACATATTTTTTCTTATCCTTCATGTTTTGCTGTTGTTTATGCCATTTTACCTTTCAATACAACTTCTGTGACTTTCGTCAACATACTGTTTTTCCTGTTTGAATCAATGAATGCCATAATTTTTGTTAAACTTTTTCTGATTGTACAATAATAATGACATTTAAAATACTGGTGAATATAAAAAAATAATTCCTCGCCTTTTACAAGGCATACTTTTTAAACAACTCTGTGACCTTATACTGCCATTGTACTCTGTTTTTTTTTTCTCTCTTGACTGTTGTATTAGCCTACTGGTGCTTGGCTAGGAACTGTCACTTCAGTTATTATCATTGACTTTCATTTTGTTATTTGGTGAAAATCTTTAAACAATATAAAAAAAATAATCAAAGCATTATTAACAGCTTTATATAAAATGATTAAAAAATAATGATTTTTCAAAAAATTTTCCAAGCGCGTTGCACAAAGAAAAAAAATTTAATAATTTGAAAACAATAGAATTTTATGTTAAAATTTGTTAAAAAAGGGTGGTAGATTTTTTTCTCTTCCCCTTTTTTCCCCTCTCCCTTTTTCTCCCTCTTTGCAAAATTTATATTTTAACTTCAACTCCATGTTTTTTCTGTTTTACTTAATGAAGACATGTAGTCTAAATGACAGTTTCCCAGATTTTTAGTTGATTATATTTTAGCTTGACTATCTCAATGTTCATCTACTCCGAACGGTTAGGTATTATTTAGGTTATATTCTACGTTTGTTTTAGTGGTTATGTTTAAATGGTAAGCTCTAAGAGCTTGTTTGATGGAAGGTTGTGTTTAAAGTTATTTTTAAGACTAGGTTAGGGTTAAGTTTAGGTTAGGTTCTACAGCCGTAGTTTGCTTGATGTGTTTTCTAGTATGGTGGTGTATGTCTAATCAAACACTACACAATGAGTGCATTGTAGCTTGCTTATGTTTCATGTAGTGTTGTCTAGCTAATCAAACACTACTCAATGATTGTAGTGTAACTTGCTTATGTTTCATGTAGTGTTGTCTAGCTAATCAAACACTGCACAATGATTGTAGTGTAACTTGCTTATGTTTCATGTAGTGTTGTCTAGCTAATCAAACACTACACAATGATTACAGTGTAGCTTGCTTATGTTTCATGTAGTGGTGTCTAGCTAATCACTACACAATTATTACAGTATAGCTTGCCTATGTTTTATGATTTGGTGTCTAGCTAATCAAACACTACACAATGATTGTAGTGTAAGTTGCTTATGTTTCATAGAGTGGTGTCTAGCTAATCAAACACTACACAATGATTGTAGTGTAGCTTGCTTATGTTTCATAGAGTGTTGTCTAGCTAATCAAACACTACTCAATGATTACAGTGTAGCTTGATTATGTTTCATGTAGTGTTGTCTAGCTAATCAAACACTACTCAATGATTGTAGTGTAAGTTGCTTATGTTTCATGTAGTGGTGTCTAGCTAATCAAACACTACTCAATGATTACATTGTAGCTTGCTTATGTTTCATGTAGTGTTGTCTGGCTAATCACTACACAATTTATTACAGTATAGCTTGCAGATGTTCTATGATTTGGTGTCTAGCTAATCAAACACTACACAATCATTCTACTGTTTTGGGATCACCTTTTAAATATACGCCAAATGTTGATATACCTTATTGCTTATCACAGAGTATAAATGATGTCCACCCTTTTGATAATTTATTTAGCAACTAATCAAATGCCATGCTGTTATTTTTGCTTCCAGTTGTATTTTTTACATGTTTGTATGCTCTAAAGCTATCTCACCAAATATAAATATTTTTAAATAAAATGTGCTGCCAACCTACCATAGAAAGTTAGCTTTAGTTTCCTTAAAATTGTATTCCTTGTTTTTAAAAGGTTCATTTTGTTGTTGATACCAGGGGTTCTCACACTGATCAGGGCCTTAGACTGGAAATGTAATGTTTTGTCTTGCAGTAACATCTAGCACATTGATTGCTTGAACAATCTGTAATTTTCATTAATATAAGGCGGATGTTTGAGAACCACTGATTTAGAGGTCATTTAACTTTTTAATTCCTAAATGTATTGAATTTATTTTTGGAGAAAGTAACGAACTAGAACGTGGAAGTTAGAAACATCTTTATACTCTGTAACTTTCTGATATACTTATTTAGGAAACATTCTTGAATTGTTAAAACTTTATGATTTTAATATTTTAAAGTATTCTTAAAATGCTATAACTTCTTATATAAATATTTGGAAATATTCTTTTAAAATTGCTGTAATTTCGTATTAATATTTGGAAATATTCTCAAATTACAATCACTTTCTGGTGAATTGTCATACAGCTAGTAACACTTTAGCCACCATTATTATTGTTTATGTTATATAGTATGACTGGCTGTAGCTGTGTTTACATTATAATATGTTAAGTTCCGCTAGTTCTTCTGATGACGTTTACATTATAATATGTTAAGTTCCGCTAGTTCTTCTGATGATGTTTACATTATAATATGTTAAGTTCCGCTAGTTCTTCTGATGATGTTTACATTATAATATGTTAAGTTCCGCTAGTTCTTCTGATGACGTTTACATTATAATATGCTAAGTTCCGCTAGTTCTTCTGATGATGTTTACATTATAATATGTTAAGTTCCGCTAGTTCTTCTGATGATGTTTACATTATAATATGTTAAGTTCCGCTAGTTCTTCTGATGACGTTTACATTATAATATGCTAAGTTCCGCTAGTTCTTCTGATGATGTTTACATTATAATATGTTAAGTTCCGCTAGTTCTTCTGATGATGTTTACATTATAATATGTTAAGTTCCGCTAGTTCTTCTGATGACGTTTACATTATAATATGTTAAGTTGCGCTAGTTCTTCTGATGACGTAAGACGTGTACATATTTTATTGAGTGACCACATATCAACTCCAGGTTTTTGTTTTCCCACCATTCAATGAAGAAATTGTGATTTTGTTTCCTCATTTTTATCAGTCTTTTTACCTCCCGGGCTGAAGATTATAGTTTATTTCTTTATAATTTCCTGCCATATTTTTAAAATGTAAGCAGATTTGTCAAGATGGCATTTTTAAATGTATCGTTGTATGAAAGGCAAGGCGTATTGGTAAGGATGTTTTTAAGCTTTTTATTACCTCAAGAAAAAATAATAAATAAAAAGTAAATATTTTAACAAACTGCCATTTTAGGTTCTATTATTAATCAAATATCGATTAACTTAATTAAGTTTTAATGTGACCACTCCTGTAAAGGAGATTACAATAATTTGATGTTTTGTAAAATGTGATGTTTTAGCCTTTAAAATATGTAAGTGAAATGCCCATAACTTGTATTTTAAAAAAAAAATTAGTGTAAAAACAAAAGGTAAAAAAAAGTATTCATTGAGGTGAGAGCTTAAAATATACCCATGTGGTTTGTGAGCTTAATTCCTTATGTGCACCCCTAATACCTGTATTATGTATATGCATGTCTGTGTATACCGCCCACTGTGTCTAGTAGATCTCTCTCAACACCAAATTATGCATTTTGCCTTAGTCTTTCTCAGCAGCATACTGGGTTATCTCTCTTTATGTTTAATTGTTTATCCTAACTGACGTTATTACCTCCCTTGGTCGATTTTCTCTTTTTTTTTTTTTTTTTTTGAAGGTGGTTGTTTCCATATTTGGTTTATTATGTGTGTTCTTTTTTTTTTTTGGTACTTTAATTTTTTTTTTGTTGATAAAGTTTGTAGTTTTTGAATTGCCGTGTTGGCAGTGTTGTAAATCAAAATTATACTCAGTAGTAGTTCTTGATATATGTAGCATTCAGGGATAATCAACAGCTTGTCCTGTCTCTTGCTGTATTGGTCATTATCTTGTCATATGGCGAATCAGTCTGAATCAGCAACACCTGCGTGGTCAGTGTCTAGCCTCACCTGTGTAGGTCAGTGTCTAGCCTCACCTGTGTAGGTCAGTGTCTAGCCTCACCTGTGTAGGTCAGTGTCTAGCCTCACCTGTGTAGGTCAGTGTCTAGCCTCACCTGTGTAGGTCAGTGTCTAGCCTCACCTGTGTAGGTCAGTGTCTAGCCTCACCTGTGTAGGTCAGTGTCTAGGCTCACCTGTGTAGGTCATTGTCTAGCCTCACCTGTGTAGGTCAGTGTCTAGCCTCACCTGTGTAGGTCAGTGTCTAGCCTCACCTGTGTAGGTCAGTGTCTAGGCTCACCTGTGTAGGTCAGTGTCTAGCCTCACCTGTGTAGGTCACTGTTCCATTGACCCCAACCTATTTATAATCACAACACACTGTACACTTTAAATAAATTTAAAGAAATTTTATATGAACATTTTAAAGCTGTTTTTTTTTCACTAAGCTTCTGCGTGTTTATCTAGAACACATCAATGATGTTCATGAAAACGGATAAGTAGAGTCAATGTTTACATTGTGTCTTCCTGTTTCAATAAGCTTTTATCAACTGAATCAAAGGGCCACATCCCAGTACGCCTGTTTTGTCTTCAAATAAACTTCTGATTTCTCGTTTGCCAAACTCGCATCTTTGTTTTGTTGTTATTTTAATGTCATTTTTGTGGTGTTATTTTGTTGTGATTTTATTATTTTGTAGTTATTTTAATGTCATTTTGTTGTGATTTTATTATTTTGTTGCTATTTCGTTGGTGTTACTGTATTCATACATTTACAAGGGGGGAGGGGGGTGTATCCAGTACTCTCGAAAGAAGGGCTGGACTGTTGTAACAACGTGTTGGATCCGTGGCCTAGCGGCAGAGAGCTAGACTGCTAAGCGAAAGTCTCGAGTTCGAATCCGGGTTCAAATAAATAGAACGTCCTGAGTTTGCCCAACTATGAAGGGTGTCTAACTTCCGTTAGGGAAACAAAGGCAGCTGACCACATTAACCCCTTTGTCCCAACGGGACATTGCCCCATGTGTTTTGAGCATAAAAAAGGACAAAGATGATGATCGAGTGATGTGTTTGTTCTGGAATATATGTGTTACGCGACAACACACTTTCAATTAAAAAATTAATGTAGGAAACTTTAATTTTCGCTGTTTTTTTAAAACCTTTTTAAAAAAAAAATTTCATACAAGTTGATAATTATGCTTTGAGGGAGGTTGCAATCACATGTGTGACGTCATTTTTGGCGTTAGCGGTCTAGACATTTAAAGAAAAAAAAAGGGGGGGGGGGGGGTAAAAATCAAATTGAAAGCGTGAATTTTAAGTTTGGTATTCGATTCTTTTGCATGCTGTAATCGATACGAAATGTGTCGTGAAACTAAGGGATGCTAAACTTTAAAACAAAACAAGAGCTAAGCGTTAAACATTTATAATTTAATAATTAACATATAAACACATATTTACAACAACAAAAAATGAACTTGTTGATAGTAAAAGTTTTGATATAATCAATTTTTTTTTACACGAATACAGAATGGCAGTACTTTAAGTAACAACAGAAGTTTTCAAGTTTTGCATGAATGGCACACATAAGGGAGATCACTCAAATCATTCATCTGCTTTTAATTAACATGTCAAGTTTCAGTGTAACGTGTGAAATATTAATTATATTCTAATTAGTAGTCAAGTTGAATTTTAAACTGAACACAATGTCTTAGTATTCTTGTAGTAGTCCAGTTTTCTAAGGGATCATCACTGTTTATAATAGTTTGCTATGGGGCGGCGTGGTTGAAGGGTTCGGATCTCGGTTCGGGATTGTAATTGCACAACGTCCCTGAGTCCACCCAGCTCTGATGGGTGCCAGACTTGTGTTGGGGAAGGTAAAGGCGGCTGGACGTAGTGCTGACCACACTATCATTTCATACGCCGAGGTCAAGAAACTTCTGCCCAATACATCGCTAGGTCTAACGACTAACTTAAAACGTAACTTAAAATTAAAATAGTTTTCTAAAAACAAAACCACGGTTAAAATTATATTTCTAGCATTACTCTTTTTAAAACGCAAAAGTGTGATTTCACGCTATTTGCACCCGCACAACCTCCTCACACATCGTCACAAATATACGAACCCCCCCCCCCCACCAAAAATATGACGTCATTTATAGACGACCCCCTATAGATATGGTCAGTGGAGCGGATGAACGTAAAGATGGCTGCCAGTTGAACTAACATGGCGAGAGGTCAAGGGTCAAACCAGTTCAATGTTCATCACCCTCTGCATTATCTGACATTGTCACAAAAATTCAGACCCCCCCCCCCCCTAAACAACTAAGATGACGCCACACTCTCTACCCTCTAAAATATTCACTGACCTAGATCAAGCTGATGTATATTGATCGACGTGCTACTTTACAATTTACAACAACAACAAATGTCTTTTATAACTGCGAAAAGTACGACGTCACATTTTCTGACCCCTCTTCCCCTTCCCCCCCCCCCCCATACACACACTGTAATGGAGGTCTGAACCCCTTTCTTTCCCCGCAATCAGTGTGACGACATGCATGAAATATCACCTTGCTCCAACGTTATAAAGTTTTTCTTTTGATTGGGTTTATGACAGGGGTCGGCAACCTTTTGAAGCGGAAGAGCCAAAAGTTACAATTTTCAAAATTTCCCTGGTTTTAAAAAGCCACTAGCATTTTTTTTATTTCAAATATTTTATTTTTTTATTAAGATTATTAGTATTTGTTCAAGGAGCAGGAGAGCCGCATCTTGATATCAAAAGAGCCGCATTAGGCTCGCGAGCCGCAGGTTGCCGACCCCTGGTTTATGATGCTCCCTAAACAGAGTACCCTGAAAGACAACAGTCCAATTTTCAGAAAATGAACAAATTAATGCCACCTTTAGAGTGAAAGTTTATTATAATAAATCGTCGTCTTGTTCCTTAAGGTTTTAAATGTTGAAACAATTATATCTCTTTTTTTCCTTGTACAAACAATGTCTAGTTGTCAACCATATCCTTTTTTTTATTTTTGTAGACAACTATTTCTGTGGACAAAATGTACATTTATCAATCTTGAAGTAAGCTAAATCATTTTACACATATTTAAACTATATTTAGCGGTTACCTCCCCTTTATTCAAACTTCTCATGAGTAAATGGGGAGCCTAGTTTATGAGGCAAAACATAGCCAAGCGGAAGCCTGCTGGAGAGACCCCTCACCGAATTTTTTTTTATTCGCAGAATCCTTCCCAGGATTCTTCTCATTGTCTTCCCCAAGCTTCATAGCGATTAGATAAAAGGTGCATTAGACAGAAAAAACCGTTTGGTGGTTGGTTAAATGGTGCAGTAGACAGGAAAACCGTTTGGGAGTCGTCCATAAATGACGTCACACAATTAGGGGGGGGGGAGAGGGGGTCCGTAATTTTGTGACGGTGTTTGATATGGGGGGGGGGGGTTCAGGTGGTGTGACGTCACTTTTTTGCATTATAAAAAAGCAATGTTAGAAAACGAGTTTTAGCCGTTATTTCGCGTTTTAGAAAACGGTTTTAATAAATTGTAATAGGAATTGATTAAAATACTATGGTGACTTGAGTTCTGACAAGATTTTGGAAAAACATCGATGTTTTAAGAAAAATTCAAATTTTGAGGGGGGGGGGGTGTAGGCTGAGGCGTGACGTCATTTTAGGGGGGGGGGTCTAGCTATTTGTGACGATGTGTGACGAAGAGGAGGGGGGGGGGAGGTAAAAATCGTCCAAAAAAAGCGTGACGTCATTTATGGATAACCCCTTGACCTTCTCACCTGCCGAGCCAGCACGTCTTGAAGCACCTTGGCCGAGATGTTGCTGAAGATGTACGGGTTGGCGTCGGTGGGCGTGGCCAGGGTGGTGATGGTTGGGGTTGGCGAGGAGGGTTGCTGCCGGAACCCCCAGACAATCTCGCTGGATGGCGTTCTGAAACTGAGGGTTGTATGGCGGGTTGGTGGCAGGTTGTATGGCGGGTTGGTGGCGGGTTGGTGCAAAGTTGTATGGCGGGTTGGTGACGGGTTGGTGTAAGGTTGTATGGCGGGTTGGTGGCGGGTTGGTGTAAGGTTGTATGGCGGGTTGGTGGCGGGTTGGTGTAAGGTTGTATGGCGGGTTGGTGGCGGGTTGTATGGCGGGTTGACGACGGGTTGTATGGCAGGTTGTATGACAGGTTAGTGTAAGGTTGTATGGCGGGTTGGTGGCAGGTTGTATGGCGGGTTGGTGTAAGGTTGTATGACAGGTTAGTGTAAGGTTGTATGGCGGGTTGGTGGCAGGTTGTATGGCGGGTTGGTGGCAGGTTGTATGACAGGTTAGTGTAAGGTTGTATGGCGGGTTGGTGGCAGGTTGGTGTAAGGTTGTATGACAGGTTAGTGTAAGGTTGTATGGCGGGTTGGTGGCAGGTTGTATGGCGGGTTGGTGGCAGGTTGTATGACAGGTTAGTGTAAGGTTGTATGGCGGGTTGGTGGCAGGTTGTATGGCGGGTTGGTGGCGGGTTGGTGTAAGGTTGTATGGCGGGTTGGTGGCGGGTTGTATGGCGGGTTGACGACGGGTTGTATGGCAGGTTGTTTGACAGGTTAGTGTAAGGTTGTATGGCGGGTTGTATGGCGGGTTGTATGGCGGGTTGTATGGCGGGTTGTATGGCGGGTTGGTGGCAGGTTGTATGGCGGGTTGGTGGCAGGTTGTATGACAGGTTAGTGTAAGGTTGTATGGCGGGTTGGTGGCAGGTTGGTGTAAGGTTGTATGGCGGGTTGGCGGCAGGTTGGTGGCAGGTTGTATGGCAGGTTGGTGTAAGGTTGTATGGCGGGTTGGTGGCAGGTTAGTGTAAGGTTGTATGGCGGGTTGGTGGCAGGTTAGTGTAAGGTTGTATGGCGGGTTGGTGGCAGGTTGTATGGCAGGTTAGTGTAAGGTTGTATGGCGGGTTGGTGGCAGGTTAGTGTAAGGTTGTATGGCGGGTTGGTGGCAGGTTAGTGTAAGGTTGTATGGCGGGTTGGTGGCAGGTTGGTGTAAGGTTGTATGGCGGGTTGGTGGCAGGTTGGTGTAAGGTTGAGGCCGCTGTGTGTCATGTCAGAACATACAGCAGTGACATGTCACTTTCACTATTTGTAAGGTGTCAGTACATTTCTTTGCATAACTAATGTGACATTTTAGCACACTTATGTCATATATAATTACACTAATTGTGTAAGGTTGTATGGCGGGTTGTATGGCGGGTTGTATGGCGGGTTGGTGGCAGGTTGTATGGCGGGTTGGTGGCAGGTTGTATGACAGGTTAGTGTAAGGTTGTATGGCGGGTTGGTGGCAGGTTGGTGTAAGGTTGTATGGCGGGTTGGCGGCAGGTTGGTGGCAGGTTGTATGGCAGGTTGGTGTAAGGTTGTATGGCGGGTTGGTGGCAGGTTAGTGTAAGGTTGTATGGCGGGTTGGTGGCAGGTTAGTGTAAGGTTGTATGGCGGGTTGGTGGCAGGTTGTATGGCAGGTTAGTGTAAGGTTGTATGGCGGGTTGGTGGCAGGTTAGTGTAAGGTTGTATGGCGGGTTGGTGGCAGGTTAGTGTAAGGTTGTATGGCGGGTTGGTGGCAGGTTGGTGTAAGGTTGTATGGCGGGTTGGTGGCAGGTTGGTGTAAGGTTGAGGCCGCTGTGTGTCATGTCAGAACATACAGCAGTGACATGTCACTTTCACTATTTGTAAGGTGTCAGTACATTTCTTTGCATAACTAATGTGACATTTTAGCACACTTATGTCATATATAATTACACTAATTGTGACATTTTAGCACACACATGTAATGGTAACTACACTAATTGCGAGAATTTAGCACACATATATAACTACACTAAGTGTGAGATATTGATTGTGATATGTCCGTATTCATTGTGATAAGTCAGCTTCACAAAATGTGACAAGTCAGATTTAATAATTGTGATATGTCAGCCTCATTCATTGTGACATGTCATCATCCATAATTGTGTTATCTCAGCCTCGCTAATTGTGACATATCAGCATCTCAAACTCTGATATATATATAACCAATGACTACTTGTCAAAACAATATAATGATTAATTCATGGATTTAATCCAAGATTGATCTCAAAATTAACTAATTCAATTACGTAACTTCCTCTTAACTTTTCACACGAGTGGAACCGTTAAACACAACACATGTCATACACTGTCGCACGAGTTAAAAACTGAACACAACACATGTCTTACACACGAGTTGAACACTAAACACAACACATGTCTTACACACGAGTTGAACAATAAACACAAGACATGTCTTAGACTATCGCACGAGTTGAACACTAAACACAACACATGTCTTAGACTATCGCACGAGTTAAACACTAAACACAACACATGTCTTACACACGAGTTGAACACTAAACACAACACATGTCTTAGACTATCGCACGAGTTGAACACTTAACACAACACATGTCTTAGACTATAGCACGAGTTGAACACTAAACACAACACATGTCTTAGACTATCGCACGAGTTGAACACTAAACACAAAACATGTCTTACACTGTCGCACGAGTTGAACACTAAACACAACACATGACTTACACACGATTTGAACACTAAACACAACACAAGTCTTACACACGATTTGAACACTAAACACAACACAAGTCTTACACACGAGTTGAATACTAAACACAACACATGTCTTACACACGAGTTGAACACTAAACACAACACTGTCGCAAGAGTTGAAAAGTAAACATAACACATGTCATACACTATCACACGAGTTTAAACGCAACACATGTGATATACTTTCGCACGATTTGAACACTAAACACAACACATGTCTAACACATGTCGCGCGAGTTGAACACTAAACACAACACATGTCGCACGAGTTGAACACTAAACACAACACATGTCTAACACATGTCGCGCGAGTTGAACACTAAACACAACACATGTCGCACGAGTTGAACACTAAACACAACACATGTCTTACACTGAAGTCCCGATTGGCTTGTAGGTGTCAAAGTCTGACTGTGCGTAGGACACGAGTCTGTGGAGTAAAGGTTTGGTTTAGTGCAGTGGGGTGGGGGGGGTAGGTTAACGTAAAGGTTTGGTTTAGTGCAGTGGGGGTGGGGGGGGGGGTAGGTTAACGTAAAGGTTTGGTTTAGTACAGTGGGGGGGGGGGGTAGGTTAATGTAAACGTTTGGTTTAGTGCAGTGGGGGGGGGGGGTAGGTTAACGTAAAGGTTTGGTTTAGTACAGTGGGGTGGGGGGTAGGTTAATGTAAAGGTTTGGTTTAGTGCAGTGGGGTGGGGGGTAGGTTAACGTAAAGGTTTGGTTTAGTGCAGTGGGGGTGGGGGGGGGGTAGGTTAACGTAAAGGTTTGGTTTAGTGCAGTGGGGGTGGGGGGGGGGGGTAGGTTAACGTAAAGGTTTGGTTTAGTGCAGTGGGGGTGGGGGGGGGGGTAGGTTAACGTAAAGGTTTGGTTTAGTGCAGTGGGGGTGGGGGGGGGGGGGGTAGGTTAACGTAAAGGTTTGGTTTAGTGCAGTGGGGGTGGGGGGGGGGGGGTAGGTTAACGTAAAGGTTTGGTTTAGTGCAGTGGGGGGGGGGGGTAGGTTAACGTAAAGGTTTGGTTTAGTGCAGTGGGGGGGGGGGTAGGTTAACGTAAAGGTTTGGTTTAGTGCAGTGGGGGGGGGGTAGGTTAACGTAAAGGTTTGGTTTAGTGCAGTGGGGGGGGGTAGGTTAACGTAAAGGTTTGGTTTAGTGCAGTGGGGGGGGGGGGGGTAGGTTAACGTAAAGGTTTGGTTTAGTGGGGTGGGGGGGTAGGTTAATGTAAAGGTTTGGTTTAGTGCAGTGGGGGGGGGGTAGGTTAATGTAAAGGTTTGGTTTAGTACAGTGGGGGGGGGGGGTCGGTTAACATAAAGGTTTGGTTTAGTGCAGTGGGGGGGGGAGGTAGGTTAACGTAAAGGTTTGGTTTAGTGCAGTGGGGGGGGGGGGTGGTAGGTTAATGTAAAGGTTTGGTTTAGTACAGTGGGGGGGGGGAGTTAACGTAAAGGTTTGGTTTAGTGGGGTGGGGGGGTAGGTTAATGTAAAGGTTTGGTTTAGTGCAGTGGGGGGGGGGGTAGGTTAATGTAAAGGTTTGGTTTAGTACAGTGGGGGGGGGGGGTCGGTTAACATAAAGGTTTGGTTTAGTGCAGTGGGGGGGGGGAGGTAGGTTAACGTAAAGGTTTGGTTTAGTGCAGTGGGGGGGGGTGGTAGGTTAATGTAAAGGTTTGGTTTAGTACAGTGGGGTAGGTTAATGTAAAGGTTTGGTTTAGTGCAGGGGGGGGGGGGTAGGTTAATGTAAAGGTTTGGTTTAGTACAGTGGGGGGGGGGGGGGTAGGTTAACGTAAAGGTTTGGTTTAGTGCAGGGGGGGGGGTAGGTTAATGTAAAGGTTTGGTTTAGTACAGTGGGGGGGGGGGGTAGGTTAACGTAAAGGTTTGGTTTAGTGCAGTGGGGTAGGTTAATGTAAAGGTTTGGTTTAGTGCAGTGGGGTAGGTTAACGTAAAGGTTTGGTTTAGTGCAGGGGGGGGGGAAGTTAACGTAAAGGTTTAGTTTAGTGCAGTGGGGTAGGTTAACGTAAAGGTTTGGTTTAGTGCAGGGGGGGGAAGTTACCGTAAAGGTTTAGTTTAGTGCAGAGGGGTAGGTTAATGTAAAGGTTTGGTTTAGTGCAGTGGGGTAGGTTAACGTAAAGGTTTGGTTTAGTGCAGTGGGGTAGGTTAATGTAAAGGTTTGGTTTAGTGCAGTGGGGTAGGTTAACGTAAAGGTTTGGTTTAGTGCAGTGGGGTAGGTTAATGTAAAGGTTTGGTTTAGTGCAGTGGGGTAGGTTAACGTAAAGGTTTGGTTTAGTGCAGTGGGGTAGGTTAATGTAAATGTTTGGTTTAGTGCAGTGGGGTAGGTTAACGTAAAGGTTTGGTTTAGTGCAGTGGAGTAGGTTAATGTAAAGGTTTGGTTTAGTGCAGTGGGGTAGGTTAATGTAAAAGTTTGGTTTAGTACTGTGGGGTAGGTTAATGTAAAAGTTTGGTTTAGTACTGTGGGGTAGGTTAACGTAAAGGTTTGGTTTAGTACAGTGGGGTAGGTTGATGTAAAGGTTTGGTTTAGTGCAGTGGGGTAGGTTAATGTAAAGGTTTGGTTTAGTGCAGTGGGGTAGGTTAACGTAAAGGTTTGGTTTAGTACAGTGGGGTAGGTTGATGTAAAGGTTTGGTTTAGTGCAGTGGGGTAGGTTAAATTATAACATCCGACTGAGCGAAGCGTAACCTTATGACTGGGCCCTCATGGCAATATGGCAATATAGAGAAACCTGAAGTATGGACCCCAGAGATACAGAAGAATAACGACCCCAAATACATGGACAAATGGCGACCCCAGAAATATGGACAAATAGCGAACCCTAATACATGAAAAAATAGCGAACCCAAATACAGAGAAAAATATCGAACCCAAATACATGGAAAAATAGCGAACCCAAATACATGGAAAAATAGCGAACCCAAATATATTGAAAAATAGCGAACCCAAATATATTGAAAAATAGCTAACCCAAATATATGGAAAAATAGCGAACCCACATACATGGAAAAATTAAGAACTCAAATACATGGAAAAATCGCGAACCCAAATACATGGAAAAATAGCGAACCCAAATACACGGAAAAATAGCGAATTTTCTAATTTTCTAAAAAATCTGGACTACTCGAATTTCTTCTGCTCAACCTGGTTGTAAGTTTAAAAAAAAATATTTAAAGTTAACACCTACTCCGTAAACCACATGCTTTGATATCTGGGTGGGGGCGTATCTTTTTCTACGTTAATTACGTTAATATTTTTCCACATCAGAACCTAGGAGAAAAATTACCTTCCTCCTCTAGGTACGGTAGATCTCTGGCGCTGTGTCCGACACAGGATGGACAGGACGATGACCAGGAGGGAGATGAGGATCAGCAGACCACAGGCGATGCCAGCACCCAGGTACAACTTCTCTAGCTCGACGTCTGCTAGCGTCAGGACGTAGCCGGGACCTGTGGCAAGTGGCAGATAACTCTCTATCTCACAACACAATTCTCACAGTTTTTAGAAGCTTAGAAGCTTATCAGTAAAACAAAGCTCCAATAGTTACAGGCAGCTTAGTTAGAAACCTATCACTAACCTGAACTCTAATGGTTATAGGGAGTTTAGCAGTCCATCACTAAAACAGAACTTCAATAACTATAGGCAGCTTAGTGGGTGTCTATCACAAAAACGCAACTCTCATAGTTTTTTGGAGAGTCCCCATGGTCTAGTGCCCATGGTCTAGTGTCCATGGTCTAGTGCCCATGATCTAGTGCCCATGGTCTAGTGTCAAGATGCCCATGGTCTAGTACCCATGGTCTAGTGCCCATGATCTAGTGTCCATGCTCTAGTGCCCATGGTCTAATGCCCATGATCTAGTGCCCATGGTCTAGTGCCCATGCTCTAGTGACAAGATGCAGCAATATCGGCTCATCCCTTGCAGCCTACAGTATAGCGGTCTATGTCCTACTTTACGTGTATTTGTTTACACATTGAGTGTATGTCTTTACCCAGCGTCTCACCTTTGGTGGTGACATTAACTATAAGCTAGAACATGTGGTGACTTGAAACACAGAAAATGTCCTGAGTGATGATTTATTTATGGTGAGACACGTCGGTTTATCGGAGACACTAGCTCACCACTCATCAAGCCTAACTTACCGCAAGTAGTGAGACACATTGAGTTATTGTTAGTGGTGACGCACATTAACGTACGGCTAGTCAGTGGCGTAGCGAGGTCGGGTGTCACCCCCCCTAAATGGTGTCACCCGGTGCGGTCCGCACCCCCCGCCCCCCCCCCTCGCTACGCCCCTGCGGCTAGTGTTGATGCTCATTGACTTATAACTAGTGGTGACACATTGACTTACAACTAGTGGTGATACACATTAACCCACCGCTAGAGATAACACAATGTCTCACCATCACTGGTGACACGTTGACTTACTTTTAGTGGTGACATTAGCCATCCGCTATCCAAGTTCAAAGGTGAAAATGGTGATCACAGGAACACATCGACACCTAGATACAAACTCTTTCTGGTCTGTTGTGGTCAGTTCTTTGGTGTCACAGTAATCCAAACTGTTGCTGGTGTGTTATGGTCAGTTCATTGGTTGTCACAATAATCTAAACTGTTAATAGTCAGTGGGGGGGTCAGTTCGTTGGTTGTCACAGTAATCCAAACTGTTGCTGATGTGTTATGGTCAGTTCGTTGGTTGTCACAATAATCTAAACTGTTAATAGTCAGTGGGGGTCAGTTCGTTTTCACAATAATCAAAACTGGTAATGGTCAGTAGGGGTCAGCTCTCGTGCGGTCCACAGAATAAACTCCTGAGTTGAGAACAGATTGTAAACCGTGGTAGCAAAAAAAAACTCAGCTCTAAATGAGAGAACTGACAGCCACACGTTTCAAGGTAGACAACTAAAAAGTTATGGGTTTATCTAAATCTTCATATATAGATGCAGATAATGTTTTATTGTTTAATCCTTTCACTGTCGCAGGTTACAAGTTACGATAGGAAAAGTTATAATCCACAGGTTGATCCACATCACGTTTGTTTTGTTTTTTAAATTTCGTTTGTAGAAAATATTTTACTCATGGCTTGAAACAGAATAAATGTTACAATTTAATTCTTTTCATGGAATTGACTTATAGGAATATTAATCTAATTGGTCACCTAAAACAAAAATGAAAGACAATAATAACACAAATATCACTAATTAATATATTATTTATTTACTCATAGAACTAATATTAATCAAATAAAATTATCGCCAACAATAATCTCTGTGAAACGGCATAGGTTAATTAGTAGTAATCACTTATGAAAAATGTTAAAGTTTTATCCACATCAATATATCAAAACTACATTTTACTTAGAACAAAATGATATTATCTACATCAATATAACGACTTAGAACATGTAGGAATCCAATATAAAATTATCGATATCAATATATCAAAATTACATTACAGATATAAATCCATAATGAAATAATCTACATAACATTATCAACATAACATTTTACTTAGAACAGCTAAGAATCCATTATGAAATTATCCACATTAATATATCGACTTCAAACAGGTAAGAATCCAAAAAGAAATTATCCACATCAATATATTAACATAAAATTTTACTTAGAACAGGTAAGAATCCAATATGAAAGCCCTAGTCCAGCACACCTACTGTCGTCTCAGGCTAGTCCAACATCTTGTGTTGGCTCACAGTTAACACAAGGATACACTCCGAATAGCTGATGAGGCGATACACTCCGAATAGCTGATGAGGCGAGGGGGATGTTAACTAAATCAACTCAAGGATCTGTTTACACAATGACGCGAGTGAAATTTTTATTCCAATCCCAGTTTTTAATTTTGCTGTATCAGAGAGTTACTTAACCTTCCTCGTATTTCATGGGCGTCTGAATTTGTTATGAATTTTATTAAGGGGAGATCACGCTATTTCTAACGACACCAAAGCAGAATTTGTCAACAATTGTACGATTCGTTGACACACATTTAGCATCTCGTATATTATCCATTCCTTTGTTTTATTAACTGCCTGTTGTGTTATTTTTTAAATTTTGTCATTATTACTAATTTCAGTAGACCGTCCCTGAGTCCACCCAACTCTGATGGTTACCTAACTCACGTTAGGGAAAGTAAAGGTGGCTTGGCATAATGCTGACCACACTATCTCTTCATATGCCGAGGTCACAGAAACAAGTGAACTCTACTTCACTTGCCCCATAGACCGTCAGGTTTGAAAGGGAAACTTTTTTTCCTACTTTTACTAATTAGTTAATTAGTTTTACCAGATGTGTTTACGTGTAATTATGCACAACGA